GAGAAGCATAGGTTTTTAATAACCTTTTCATTGCATTGCTTGGAATGGTTCTTGTCTTCATTGTATAGTTACAGCCAGGAGTACTGATTCACCAGTGACACCAGTCACTTAAGACACATTCACCGCACTCAGACGATCTCCGTTTTCCGTATTGTGTGACTCCTAGCACCAGTTGACTTCATCTGTGAAAAGATGGTGAATACTTGCACAATCACCTTTTTTATATTGGATATTTTTAATTAATTGGAACACTTTATAGGATTCTGGTTTCACTGGAATATAAAAGTCTTTTTTGGTATGTCTTTTTTATTTATTTATTTTGTTGTTGTTTTTTCTTGAAAAAAGCCAAATTAAATCGGCCATTATTCAATGTTGAAAAGCGACAAAAAGAGAAAACTTCATGGGGGTTTGAATTCTTTTTTATAAGCAACGTATTACATAGGACGGGACTCATCACTTAGATATCGCTGAAAAAGGAAGAAAGACTTCAAACCTGTTGTAAAAGAGTCGTATTTTACCACAAACTGTGTACTTTTTCCTGAAGGTAACTAAATGGAAAGTAAAAAACAAAGCAAGAGTGACAGTGAAACTTCAGTACAAGAACATTGTTCCCACACGGGACACAAACCCAAATTTTCTGTCTTAAAGTCTTGTTGCTGACTTTTGATTTAACCTCCTCTCCACTCTCTTAGCACAGACTTTATGGCACTTTTAAACTGGAAAAACTTCCTACTGTGTCATACTCTTACCTTTCGGGGAGTAGATATGCTTTTTTTTCAAATAAATAATGCTAAATGTAATTTAGTTGTATTGGAATGTGTTTTTTTTTTTTATTACTATTATTTTAAGACAGCGCTGGAACAAAAATAAAGTGAGTACATGTGATTTTAAATTGGTCTGTAAACTCTCCACCAAATCAAATGAAGAAAATATTAAATCGTGGTCGAGCCAGCAGGTAGCTGTGTTTTGATGTATGTATAACTTGTCACTATTAACAGAAATAATGAGTCCCGCTATATAATTTATGTGTACTGTTATGCAGTCTGCACAAATAAGTCTCTTTGATCTACTATAACTTTAGTTGGAGATCCTCAACTGAAATACAGTTTGTGGGCTCATTAAAAAGTGTTTCCTACGATACTGTAGGTCAGCATTCAGTACATGTAGGTTTACTAACACGCAACATGAGTGTTGGTCTGAATTTCACATTGCACAGAGAAATTGAACTTGTGCATCACTAATGCATGATTAAAACTCTCAAAAACAACCGTGTAGTCTGAGGTGTTCAGTCTTTGTTTGTGCCTTTAAGGGAAAAAACACGAAAACTCAGTCACTTGAAATGCTCTTTGGAGTATGTATGGAAATGTAAACTAATGAGTCTCTCAGGTCAGTAGACATACACATAAATATTCATGAATAGCATGCAGAATTAAAAGTTGACATAGTTGCTGGACAAATGGCTTTGTGTTATGAATTTCACATTAATATTCTTAAACTGTATACAGCAGTTGTGTCTATACACAGAAGTAAATACAAGAATCCCCTGTACCTCTTCTAATGCTGTTATAAGGAGCATCTAACCTTTTGTTTTCTTTTTCAAGTAATTTCCCCCCTTACTTGTGATTATTACAGATGATGTAGTACTACAAGGCACACAGAAAGAATAGATCGAAGACTCAAAGTGGTCTCATAAAATGCCAATAGCATGAGAACAAAACATTCAACTTGCATCCAGATTTTAAAATGAAATAGGCCTCCGTCCAAGCAAATAGTAAATGGCAAGTTTTTATGGCTGCTATTTTAAGTATAACTAAAGGATTTGGACAGAAAAAAGGCTTTTATGAGTTTAAGTGTGCTGTGAGTCAGCTGCAGGCTAAGTCCCGCCAACCTTAGACCTAGACAGGTGGGAGGATTTTCTTCTCTTGCAATCCAAGACACCTCAGACTATTGCCTCATACATGACTCCAGGGTTCAATCACCACCTCTCTGTCACAAGAAAAGATAAATACCTACAAATTTTCAAACTTCGTATTAGATTTTATAGTGCATTTTAATGTCCACCTCTCACCTTCCTGACATCGTGTTGAAAAGAAGTGGCGCACAACACTCAAATTATACCCCAGGGATGGAAAACATAGCCGAGTCTTGAACTAACTGTCAGATCTTCGTGTTCATCCCCTTCTTGTCAAGTTTGCGTTCACAGATTTGTGCTGTTTTACCTTTGCGTGGTTTGTGGTAGACCTGTTTGGACTGACAGCAATGCTGATGAGGCAATTAAAGTTCCTAGCCTTAGCCAGCCTTAGAGGGGATCAATTCTGTCCTCCAGCATCAGGTGGCAAGTCCCAGCATTCATTATTGCCTGCATAGGCTCCCTAATGGGATTGGATTTGTACTTATGAGTCAACAGGGCTGTTATTGAATCTTACTCGCTGAAGCAATTGTCCTCTTCCAACAACTTTCTCCTTTGCCTCTTTTCTGAAGTATCTCTATTGTTGCAGTCCTGTAGGATTTTTTTCCCCTCCTTAGTTCTGCATAAAGTAGTAAGACGAATGTAAGCTCACAGGGGGTGAAAGGGTTTTAGAGACTTTACTTTGTTGCAGTAGATTATTCAATTCTGGACTTCTGTTGCAGAAATCATACCATTTGAAGGTATGTTTATGGAAGTCGGGATAACAGAAGTTTCCAAGTGGTGGTGTTCTGTGCGGTTGAGTACCTCACACTGTTTGCCCCGTGTCTCCCTCTCACTTAGTGATTCCTTTGATTAGCTTTGAGCTTGTGGGTGGTAGTTCTCCAGGGGGCTCATTAGCTGTAATGACAAGGCCAAGATTTTAAAGTTAGCCAGTCAAAGACATAGTTAGTAGTATCTACTACACCTAATTCCTTTAGACCTTCAGATTTTCACACTTATTGATACATCAGGTAGTGCTGTTCCACACAGGGCAATTTCCAAAGCAGCAACCTCACTGCAAAATATTAGGAGTGCTGCAGAGAATACTATATTATGCCAGCCCTTTGTATGTGCCCCTCCCTTCCTCTCGCTCTCTTTTCCTCTCTTTCTCTCTCTCTCTTATGTCAATTATGCCTTAGGATCTGGCTCTGGGGTCTGGCCTACATAGAGGCTTGCAGAGCTGACTCTAAACTAGCTGGGAGGGTTGCAAATGACTGCCTCGCTCCACGCTACATCTGATGGCAGGAAGTCAGCAGAAACTCATTGAAAGTCACTGGAACTTTACCCGAGGAGAATGTTTGATTGGAGTGATTTGCCCCGAATCTAGGAACTGACAAAAGGTGTTTTTGTCTGCGATTAAATAGCTCCCTAGAAATGAGAAAGGGATTAATTATTCATAAAGGGAAAATGGGTTGACATTGGACTGCAGGTCCAATTTGACAGTTCAGGCTGAGCACCTGGAAAGATTTGCCTCTGACACTTTAAGACGGACAGCACATAATGACAGCTCAGAAAGCTACCATTACGTTTACAGTTAACAGAATTAGCCATTTGATGTTGCTTTTTTTCAACACAGTGATGATCAACCCCTCCTAAAACACATTTTTGCTATTCTGATGTTGTTGTTATAACAATACATTTTAACAATGTATTCACTTAGTAACAACTGTAATGTAATATAAATACAAGTAGGTTCAGCTGCTTACAGTAAATCACCACATAGCAAGAAGAAGTGCATCACATAACATCATTTTATTTGAACAACAGCATTCCTTGTTTGTTAAGCCATACGTGGGGTCACCACAAAATGTGTACTTTAGTAGAATTAACCCTCTGAACCCCAAGCGGTTTCTGGACATTTTTGCTGCTGACATTTTCACTTACACTTTTTCACTCAGCTCATTTTTGACTGCAGTCTAAAGTCCTGCACCACTGTTGAAGCAGCACAGTGATGTCTAGAGAGAAGTCAAAAACAAAGTGTGCATTGTTACATGGTTAAAATACTGTAAATCAATTTTTATATTTTGGATTATTTATTTTTATAAAAATTGCTAAAACCTAGAATAAACCGATGCAGCATTTTTCCAAGTGTATACAGGTTTTACTAACACTGGAGAGGGGGAAAGGATGACTACTTATTACACTGTTTTCATTTTTAATTTACTCCCATAGTTGTCTCCTTTTGATCTGTGTGAACATAGCCGGCAATTCAGCCAAGTCCAGCCAAATTGTTGTCTCATGACTGTAGCAGTTGGGTCGCTAATTACTTCCTGGTTGCGCCAAAAAGTGCTCATTTTTTTGTTTTTTTTTACAGAATCTGGCTAGAGCAAGCAAACCTTTAAATGGCACATGTAGAGTAAAGTGATGTTGATTAAAACTTGTGATTGTCAGCTCAGTTTTGGACAAGTTTCCAGACTGAATGGCAGTTACAGATAAGTAGCTAGATAGTTTCTGGCTCTGATTAATGATGTTATTTTGGTAATTTTGTAAACATACCATGTTTTTCAAACCCACTGGGTGGAGAGAGTAAAAATGGAAAAAGAGGGACTGTGTAAGAAATGTCCATAACTCCCCAACAGAAAATATTTTTGTTAGACTCCTTGAAGTAAAGCTGAAATTCTACTCTTCAGTCACATATGGAATATTTTATCTCATGGTGCACAGAGACAAAATTTGAAAAACTGTGTGTGAATCACATCACAGCTGGTCAACCAATTGTTTCTTACTGTATGTGTTCCAGATAAAGCAGGTCAAATATTATAATGCAACTTCCAGCTTGTGTGACACCGAGACTTGACTTTTCCTGCTTTGATAGTTTTGGCAAAAGCCATTGCAGGTGGACACAGCACTAATCTAAACAAACATGGGATGAGCTTCAGTCCAGTATGGCGGCAATCTCATTACAAGCAAGTGTGGCAGAGTTCTTTCTAAATCAAATCTCAGCCACTTTCATATGTGCTCTCCAAACTGATATATTGTTCCCAGTCACTTGCTGTGCAACTGCCGCCCGGTCTGTCAAATCTGAATTGATGTGTTCTTTCCTCCACTACAGCTTCAGCACTGCCTACCAGTGTATCTACTACTCCCCAGAGCACACAGCCAAAGCCCAGGAGGTACTCAGCACGATGAGCCTCCTCCAGCCCCTCATCACCAGCTTAGCGGACCAGCTCCTCCAGGCTGCCCATGAGCACTCTTCCCCTGGACTGAGGGATGCACTCAAGAACCTCTCTGACAAGGTGAGGCAGCACCGACACCTTTCATCTAACTCTGCTTCCATCTCAACTGTCTCTTGATTCGTTTTTCCCTCAAGCTGCTACAATGCACAAAGCATGGATCTAACATATCCAGTGATTCCTCAGACAGGAGAGCCCCTTTAGCTTAACTTTGACTGTGGGGATTATTTAATTTAAACCCAAATTTAATTATTAATGTAGGGGTTCTGCCTCCCAGCCTATAACCATTACTTTTACTGATGGAACTTCGGGACTATTCAGGTGACCAAATTGACATAAACTGACTGCAGACAGTTTAATCCTCTCACAGGATTTCCTGACGAGAGTAACTTGGTACCAGCTCTGATAACATCTGTCTGCTAGTTTGCTCATTGCAAACAAAAGCTGTGAAATTTAGAAATTCTCCAAATAACTTTAAATCCAGCAGTTGTTTTGACACAGTTGCACACACTCGCGCACACACTAAACAGACAACCTCAGGAAAAATCCATAACTCATCATAAAAACGCCAAACTAACAAAAGTGAATAGCAGCATGGGGGTTTATGGAGTTGAGGCGTTTTTATCAGTATAATTAATGAATTACATCTGGTGCTGTCAGATTGCAATCTGTTGTGGGAGAGATTGTTTTTGCCACAGTGGAATAGAGCCCAATCAGCCTGCTTAATTGGTACATTCGCTCTGTCACCACTTCCTCTCATCCTTGATTAGACACGCACACACTGGCCAAGTAAACCCCTGGCCTGGTCAGCACAAGCAGAGCTGCTCTCTGATTAAGATCTCAAGCTGTGTTTGTGTGTGTACGTGTGTGAGGCTGAGGGGCTTGGAACTGTGAAAGTGTGTCTGCGTGATGATCAGGTCACATCATTGTGTTCAAATCCCAAAGTTAAACATGGTGAAAAACAGCTCTCGATTTACATACAGACACGCGGAGTTACCAGCATGTTTGCATACACACAGCCTTGTGCTGGCTTGTTCACACGTGTGCAAACCTGTGTGCTTTTATTAAGAATTATTAATAGTGTGGGATTACAATTTTTCTGTAAAAGGCTTGAGGTGCAATATGCAAGATTTTTTATATAAATATTGCATTACTATATCAGAGAACAACTACCTGCTATGTGAAGACATAGCTGTGTAATTGAGAAGTGGGTGAAGTCACACTGCCTCTGTATGTGTTGTTATCCGAGCCTCTTTGTTCTGTGTCTTTGCAGTCAGTTTTGCTGTACGTGCACATTACTGCATGTTGTGCACGTGAGCTCCTCCCTTTGAAACCGTTGGCCTTCCATGTGCTTAGAAATAAACCAACAGTGACCTCCCACACTGAACTGGAAAAGTTAAGTGCAGTCTAGTGTCTTAAGAATATCCAAAGAATAAATAAGAAAAAAAATAACAATATGAATAAAAAATATTATTTGAAAAATAATTACCTCATTTATATGCACTTGTTTCATTTCCGCTCAGTGTGAGTGTCCAATGCTGTTTTGAGGCTTTGCTTCTCTTTCTCCACTCGTGTCTGTTCTGCTCCAGTCTTAGTGTGTCAGTTTCCACACATTAGTCCACTCCGGTCCATCCACGAGTGCCGTCGGTCACAGGTTCCAACATTAACACACAGCAAAACAAACCAGAGCAGAGAGGGGCAAAGTGAAGAAAACATTACTCAAGTTGACAACAACTCGCTACCTCCATTCAGTGTATTTTATAATGCTGGTGTTGGTCAATGGCTGTGGCTGAATTATTCTTTGTTGGCTCCAGTGTAGGCAACCTTTTTGGTTGTAAATACATGTGAATCGGAGGGGGGGGGGGCAACGTGCCTGTTTGTTTGCTTTGGTCTATAATGCTGACATTGCTGATACAAATAGTGGAATATATTTTGTGTACCACAATGTTGAACAGGTGTAATCTTAGTAAATTGGACAGCAGATTCACAGCGTGACTGCTTTCACTGCAGTTTATATTCTTTTCTCTTCTTGTTGCTTTGAACCCTGTATGTTCATGAGTGTTTAGCTCTATCACCCTGTAGATATTATCAACAGAATATAGTTGCTGTAATTTTGTTTTGATTTAAATTATGTATAAAAGTTCTTGATTAATGGCTAGTAATTAGTACTGTTTGCCTGTGAGTCATCATATTCTGCTTCTGTTGTCTGTCGTTGTTCCAGTATTTGCAGCAAATCCCCATATTTTTAGGATTCTTCTCATTTTTCTAAGATGCTGCATGTGTGACAAATGGATGAAGATGATGATGTGTACCTCATTTGCTTGTGTTTTGTGTATTTTCCAACATTTTCTTAAGCTGTGGTATGTTCAGGTGTTAGAGCCATCTTAATAGTTTGCATTTTTTTAACATCAAATATTAGAAAGTGTATTTGGAGATTAGATGAAAACAAAAATAAGTGTTGCTGGCCACCCCAACAACATACAACACCCTCTGGGTTTAGGCCTTTGATTTGTGAAAAACTCCCCCAAAGTACAGATAGAGAGATATTTGCTATCCATCCGACAGACGTATAAATATAGATGGATGCATTTGTGAAAGTGTCTCTGCAGTGAGTGTGAAGTTTCTTCAATAACGAGAGTGAGTCACACCTTCAGAGAATCTGGGAAAGAAGAGACACCTCCAGAGAAAATCAGGGTTTATAAGAATCTTTTTTTTTTTTTTTTCTCCAAAGCTCAGCCTTTGACTTTTTCCTTCTCAGTTCAGACCACCTGTCTCCAGGCCTAATTCAGTATTTCACTCTAATACTTGCTGTGCACATTCTGATTAGCTTTGGACATGGCAGATGTGCTGTTGCTTCTCTATATATGATAATGAATCTGTTGATGATGATAATAATAATTTCACTCTGATGATAATCATAGTGAAAAGGCAATTGCAGCGCATCGCCCCTCCCTCCAGCTGTGTCCTTGGACAGTTATATGTTCGCAATGTAATGGTTACCTGGAAGAGCTGTGGGTCTGATTGTCTGTGCATGATTGTGTTAAATTATACTGTGTATTGGGGTCATAAATACAATAGTGAGCAAGTGCCCTCACAGCCTCTTGTTGTTGGACTCTGACCAGCTTTATCCATTCAGCCTCCCTCAACCTCTCAAGTGAAGTTGCATAAACTGAGAAAAATCTATTTTTAACACAGCCAAAATGTGCTCATCCTTCAGGGTAAAACCATTTGAAACCATTCGGGGTGAATAGATTCCTACAGTTTTCTTCTTTTTCGGATCAAATGTAACTTATTTTTTCATAGTCGGTAGTGCACAAAAGCATTTTCAGCACTCCTGCTCAGTCGAGATCACATCAGCAGATATTTTGAAGAAAGACAAGCAACACAATTTTCCCCAAGGGATTTTGAGCGTTTCAGATCTTTTAAAACAGGTAGGTGTCGAAGACTTACACTAAGGAGTAGTTTTTGCATGTGGAGGAGCAAAATTGCTTTGGTTTTGCCTTGCTAAGAAAATGAAGCTGCAATCCTTTCCCCCCTTTGCTCACATTATCTATATGGATCTTGCAGTACAGTGTATCATTAAACTTGCTGCAGATCCTAATCTTAATGGGTACAAGCTCAGTTTAAGTGTTTTTCTCTAGGAATGTGATTTCTCGGTTGATTGATCTACTTGATTTGTAATGTAATCACTTCACTTTTATCTGCAAAAAAAAAAATGCCTGGATTGCTTTCATAAGAAAATAATTTCAGCGTCATAAGAAGTTGCTGTTTGAGCACTTTCATGGTCGAATGAGTTCTCTGACGTGCAAATATGACTCCGATTGTTTTAAATACAGTACGTGGCTTTGTTCACTCATGTCAGGAAGTGAATAATACATGATCTCATAGATTGCAAATTAACATGGAGGTCAGATAAGCATAGTTCAATTTGAATGTGAGTGTACATTTCGAATCCCCAGCTCCTGCTACATGTTTTGGTTTCTGAATCCAGCACGTAGCTCATTTTTTTAGTCATTTGGACATTTCAGTCTTTAAGATTATGTTGACTTCTTTGAATAGAATCGAGCAGGATCCTAGCAGAAAGGCCGGTTCTCAGACAATTACACAAGTAGTCTTATCCACATATTGTAGCTCGCACATCATTGACTTACAGTAATGGAACTCATTTGGATCCATGCAAGGCAATTAAAATGGATATGAATTAAATACAATGATGTTTTAAGTGTAGTCCTAGTTTGCTTTCTCTGCTCAAACATTCATCAAACGGCCCATTCAGTTTGGATACTGGCCTTTACATTTTTTAAATCAAGAGCGAAGAAGTTAAACCATGCTCAGATGGATCAGTCAATGTGTGCTTTTCTTTCATTAATGACTGAAATAGATGAACACTGTTTAATATGGACTCTTTAAGACTGCGGTTTTATTTTTAAGATGTAATGAGTCAGATTTGTAAAAAGCAGTCAAAGTAATAGAAGCAAACTATTCGTTTAATATGGAGCGATCCGTTTGAAGTTTAAAACAGTAGAACCAAGCAGTAATTCAGGATAAAAATATGGGTCATAATCCGCAGTGTTTGAACACTGGTGGTAGTTGAGCAAAAGCAGCAGGTGTATGATGATACTGTTGATGCTCAGTACAGGTATTATCTAATCTTTAAAACTAGCTCTTCAGCTTCAACTGAACTTGTGATCTACCATTCAGTTTTATGGGCCATTTATTTCATTGTTCCGTGACACTGTTTCATCATTTTCTGTTTTATTTTGTATACGACCCCTACCTTTTACCCTGGTGCTGCTGGCTTAGGCTCCAGGCTCCCCAGTGAGTAAAGCGGGTATAGCTGATGGATGGATGGATTTTGTATACTCATGTCTCCTCTCGTTTTAGATACCTCCCTCTTACCCCGTGTGTTTCCCACCTTTGTGATCGTCCACTCTGTTCCATTTAGCTTCATGTGTCCCTTGTTATCCTTCACTTCCTGGTAGGCTTCGTCGACTTAAGCTTTTTCTGTGTGTTTCGCCCTTTCGTCTACACACTCCAGTGATCTCCTTTGGTAGACTTGGTCAAAATTGTGCTGGCGGTAACGTTGCTAAGAGAACTTTTTTAAAGGTTTACATGTAAAGTCTTTTGAGGAATAACTCCACTACGCTGTCACTCCATACGTATGACTCCCCTAATTCTCAGTGCACCACGTCTGGAAGCTCTCAACAACTGATGGTAGCTTTACTTCAGGCTTCTGATTTGCCAACATGGCTTACTGGTTGGGGCTCATTTGCCACCTGTTGGCGTGCTGTGGTCTTGACAGCTTGTATTTTTGCATTATCACGTGGATGAGGATATTTTTTGTAGCGCTAGTGTGGACCACATTTTTTTTGAGAACGAAGGAGCAGAAACCCTGTGTTCGTGTGCGCTAGGCCTCTTGTTTGTGCTTCCATCTCTCGGTGCCAGTTCGTCTTTGTACCCAGTGTAAAGCGCTCCAGTCTTTCTTCCTTGCGTTTGGTATTTTTGATCTCTGCCTGTTTGTTTTTCTGGACCCGGCCTTCGTCTCCGCCTTGTCAGATTCTGTTGCCTGATCCTCCCTGCGTACCGATCCCTTTATGCAGGACTGTTTTTGACCTTGATCCTGTCTTTGAGTCGTGCCGTTGAGTCCTCTTGCCAGTTTATTCTCCAGAACTGACTATGCTGAATCATCATTATGTCTCACCGGACCGGTAGCTTGTAGGTGTGTGTTGCCCCTCGCTGAAGTTTTTCTCCGAGTTACTGAAGACATGGAAAAGCAACAAAAGTTGTACAAAGCTAGTTATTAAGCTTATAAACAGTGTTATACTCATGCTATGTCATGTGCAGGGACAGATGGTGACTTATTGATAAATGTGCTGAAGCTCACTTAGCTTAGAAAAAGCTGCATACTGAATTACTGTGAATCTTTCTCTTGAAATGAATAGAAGTGTTTGGTCCATAAAGTGAATTGTCATTTCCACACCTCAGTTGCATTTTTTTTTTGTCCCTGATGGGATCAAGAAATGTGTACAGAAAGACCATATTTGAAATATGGGTATGTCAAGAGGTTTTGACTGCATGGGGAAAATGAAAGTGGAAATTAGAGCAGGAGCAACTTGCATGAAGTCACAGATAGAAGAATAAATGTGTTATATTGGATAGTTGGATGAATAATGGATTATCACACAAATGACACAGTCAGAAAAGTGAAAATGACTTCTTTGTTAAAGCGCTGGCAGGTCATTTACACATGCAGCCCGTTATAAAAAGGTCACAAGTTGACATTGCCTCATTTTAAAGAGGTTACAAACCAAAAAGAGTTCAGAATCACTTAACTATGACATCGACATGAAGCTTTTCCGGGACTGGCACAGCCGGGGGTTCTTTTCCCAGTTATCTACTTGTTTGCTGACAAAGCAGTCTATAAGTTTACTATTCACTCCACATCAGGGAGGTAGGAGCAGGAAGAAGTTGTTTGTGTGGCATATATATATATATATAATGACCTTGCAGGTTTCTTTTCATGGAAGGCCTGGCTTGTGTGTTTTGTTAGACTGCATTTTCTCTGGTAATAGAATTGCTTATTGCCGTGCTAACTCAATTACTCTTTAGAGCCCTTATCATTTTTTACACGGTGGCGGCAGAGAGTGGAGGCTCCTTGGTACTGGGATCATCATCAACTTACAGTAGCTGGTGAATTTCAGATCAAAGGAGGTGTGCTCCTCGGAGAAGCAGGCTGGAGGAGGAGTAATTGAATTGTTTGTTGTTTGTTGCTGGGTTTTTTTGCTCACCGGCTGTGCTGCAGTAATGGAGAGCAGCTCCTTTATGGTGAAGGAGAGTGTTCATTTTCCTTGTTTCTTTTTACTTCCACTGTAAATTGTTACCTGCTTCCAAGTTCATTTCCACCTGAATCTTCCTCTCCCTCCCCAACGTGACAGTCTCTCTGTCTTACTCACTTGCTCAGTCTCTTTTTCAGCACCTAAATTTTTATTTGCTGCGCTATCCCACAGAAACTTTCAGTATCTGTCTTCTGTCCAATCTCTCCTTTTGCTACAGACAGAACAATTTGTTCACACACTTAAGGATGAATTGGTCAAGAGTGCACTGCTCGCACTGCACGCAGCGCAGCCGGGCTTCGTTTCCAAGAACCAGAAGCAAACTCTGGTGCAGGGACAGCACCAAGGCCACATCGGCCAGGGCAGTGACCAGAATCAGAGCCCAGTCCAGGGACTTCCGGGCCACAGTCCGACCACATCCGTCACAGAGAGCACAGCGGTGTGTAATAATGTGGAGGCTTCACAAACCATGACTGGGGGAGAAGGTGGGCTTCTGCCGCCGAAGCACCAAGACTCCATACCACACCATAAAGAGTATGATGAAGAGGAATGGGTAAGTGTGTCTGTTTTTTCTTTGTCATGCAGAATATTTCAAAACCATAACATCTTGTGGTTTATTTTAAGTAGGACTTAAACTTATATTTGTGCAGCTGCTCCTAAGTAGAGCAAACATTAATAAGTAGAAATAAGTTATTACTGCAATACAGATATGCCACTGTCGTGGCAAATAATTTCAATTACTTTCAAAATTAGATCGCATACCAAGTTAAACGCCTTCTTTTTAGCGTATTTTTCTCAAAGTAGATAAAATATTCCATCATGGCAAACTCACTGCACAAGATAACTATTTGGTATCTTTGAATCTAAGCCAAGACATGTTCAAAGCATATTTTTGAAACAGGAAAGACTAAAATACACCGCGCCCCTTAAACAGTCACACAAGAGAAAAAAAAAGGCATCTATTCATCATTGACCAGTTGGAGCTCAGGAAAAGAAAGAGAAAGCTGGAAACAATAGAAATGCTTTGAGGGTAATCTCAGAATATCCATACAGCAATTTCCTTTTGACCTTTTGAACATAAAGCCATTTCTGACTGTGCAAAGAAATACCTTTGTTTTTTTGGTTTCCCTTTATCACGCAATCTCAAGCAGAGACGGTGTGAGGACAACACGGATCTAATCAGTGAAGCTGATCTGACTGCTGATTGTTTTTTTGGCTCCTGCAGGACAGGGTTTGGGCTAACGTGGCCAAATGTCTCAACTGTGTAATCGCCATGGTGGATAAACTGCAGGAAGAAGACAACAGCAAGAAGGAGTCGGTCCCCGAGCAGCAGCTCGCCGATGTCATCACCTCACACAATCCAGGTAAATGACTTTTCTTTCAGTTTGTTCAGCTTAATGGTAATAATTTCAAAGCCAATTTGTTGCTGCGCAGTGAGAAATAAAACTTCATTTGGCTAGTCAGGATTTTAATTTGGAAACCACTACAGCCACTGGACAGTAAGATTACTTATTATCATAGTTGTAACTCAACAAATTAAAGTTTCTGTTCACTGTATTTTAATTGTTATCCATTTATCCATTTTTATAATTGCTAATCCTGTGTGTAGCTGAGGAAGAACATGTAATTTGTACTTGCCTTTTAGGAATTAAACTTCCCAAATTGCTGCTTTTAAGTAATAACGAGCAAAAATCATTTTATACAGTTTAAAACTCTAGGAGGTAGAACACACCAAAATACCCCCAAAAAACGCACCAGAATTTTAAATTATACAGCGTCTCTCCTGCAGCTCTTCCCTCTGCCCTCTCTGTTCCAAATGTGCAAAGACAGTCAAGCTAAAAGTCAACATTAATTTGTAGCTCTACCCAGAATTCAATGTCTTGCGTGATCTGAGTGAAAAGGCCTGTGATTGGCTTAAGTCTCCCATCACGGGTTAGATTTTCTAAAGCCTGAAAACGGAGGCAAGAGGAGGAAGACAAATCAAGTTTCCTCTTAGACCACTTGTATTACAATATGCTGAAAGGTTAGTGTGGATTCTTATGCCCAGTGAAGTGCCCACAAATAGTGTCAGCTTTTATGTGTTTGAACATTTGAGGTCTAAAGGAGTCTCCAACTGGCTGCACCACGCCACTGTTCACTAACACATTTTAGAAAGATCAGTAAATCCATAAACAAACCTACAAACATACGTGTAAAAGCATATCCTCACAAATACATTCATACAGCCACACACAGAATAGCACCTGTGAAAGCTTTTTGGGTTTAACTTTCTTTTGTTGCTCATGAGTTGATCAGTTTTCTTCAGCAGCTGATTCCAGACCCCAAATCCAACCTAATGCCTGCCTACTAAACCTTGCTTTCTGTCTGCTTCGCTGCACACCTGAGAAATCCAAACACCACCTCTGCATTCTGTCATGTGCAATGTGTAGAAAGAAATCTCCTAAAACAGATGACAAAACAAGGAGTCGGTTGCAGTTTTTTCCAGAAAGTTTATTCTCCAAAACAGTATTATGTGGTAATTTGCACTGTTATCTGTGGGAAAATGATTTGGACATTAATCTGCAAAACTGTACGCACTTTGAACTACAGTGAATAAATGTGGGTTGCAACTGAGTCCTGTTGACTGAAATAATATCTTCCCATTTTATTTTTTCTTTAATGTAACAGGTATTAAACTTATCCCAGCTGACGGGGGCAAAAGGCAGGGTAGCCGGTCCACCACAGGACCGTTCCTGACTGCGTATGTAGCGCACTGCAGAATTGGCTTTAACCAATGCATTATTATCACTGGCTACATGTGGTGATAATGCTGCATTATGACTTATCTGACATCTCCCTCCAGCTCCCATCACGAAACCACAGTTAGTTTTAGATTAAGAAGTGATTTTCAGCCAACAAATTGTAGATAATAAACTAAATACTCAATTTTCACTGTGAGAGAATTAGCAGCGAGTCGTTCGTCAGAGCATCTTCAGGTCGAAGTGAAGAGTGACACGGTATTCTGTTCCACCATGCAGCCTCCCTGTCGTTCGAGCATTAGGAGACGAGAAACTTAAACTGTTGCCAGAGAAGTGGATGAAAGCTGCATTTGATATGCAGAGCCATTCACTGTTGACCACAAGCTGCCCAGTCTTCCCTTACGTCCAGTGAAATCCTGCCTCAAGCTTGTGTTCAGACAAGTGCCCGGGCTGCTGCAGCTGCCAACTGGCACACAGAGCAGCTGCATTAGTCTGACCAGGCTACGAGGAGAAGCTCTTTGAGTGTGTCTGTGTCACTCTGAGGCATCTGTGGATGTGTTTGTATCATTTTTGTGCCTCTTGTGTGTCTCCAGTATGTGCGTCTTTCTGTCCAAGCGAGCCACCAGGTAAGAACAAGGCCGTGTGCCTGGTGTTCACTCTGAAAGATAAGCTTGACCCCCACAGCGCCTTTATTAAGACGCTGAACAGGCTCAGAGCAAGTGGTCATCTGCTTGTCTAAATGCAAACATGGACAGAATAATGAGAGAGGCTTTATCTTCCTGCGGAGACCACTGAATCCCGGGTTTGTGATGACAAGGCGTCGTGGGGGTTTGGATGTTTGGACAGGTGGGCCAGCGAGGAGATGACAGCTGGAGTTGTGTTTCCTCATTCTCTGTGCAGAGGCAGTATTTGCAGAATGAGATAAGACATGATTTCTCTGACAAGGCAAGGGCAAGCCTGATGTGTTGTACATTCTGGGTCGTATCCAACTGTGCGCGCGTATGTGTTTGTCCACACCGATTCGCTCGTCCCGCCCAAGAACTTTTCAATATGTTGCAGCTGAACCTTGGATAATACTAAACCAACACTGCCCCCTGTTGGCTGTAGAAGGGATCAGATATATCAGAAACCTGATGTGAAAGAGGACATTCAGAGAGCTTTATAGCTGTGTCCCAGTTCCTACAGAGTTACTCAGCAGGTTTTCAATATATATTTATTTTTACTTGACAGCACATATAGGAAATGGATGCACAAAGCACAGATGAAAAACTTAATTAATCTTAGATAAATGTCAAATCAGTGTGTTCTGACAGTTAGCACACAGTAAATATGAATACTGAATACTTGTGAATAATATGAATACTTGTCACTGGCATACTTTTACCAAAGCCAAATTAGCTACTTGTGTTTTGTATTTAAAATACAGCCATGTGTTTTTGTTTAGTAGTAAAACTTTAAAGAGGATTGCAAATCGGTGTGGTCTTTACTGATTTACAGTAACAAGTAAACTCAGTTGTAACGTCATGTTGCACATGAGTGTATAAAACTTAGTTACTAGTGAGAAAATAATGAACAAACAGCTAAATGTAATAAACAGTTGAAATGATGTGACTATCACGTCAGTGATCTTTCTCTGCATTCATATTAGACGTCCTGTTTCAACAGCGATTGCATCACATTGAAACTTCCCTTAACTCGAAAATGCATTTTGGTCAATTTTACTTCACTTAGATGTTTGATCCACGCTGTACAGAATGATGTTCAGGGTTTGACTCTAGAGAAATGAAATTGAAATTCACTCGCTGAAATATGTTCTCAGTTTGAATCACGTATGTGAAAGCAAGATTTGTAACATCACAGCTGACTTAGAAGTCAACCATGGTCCAAGAGGCCCTTTGCAAAAGGGTGATGTGGAAAGTTGAAGTCTGCATTAAAATTTTGAAAACAGTCTTTCAGTGATGTAATCTTTTCTCAAGTTTCAAAGGTCTAATTTAACTCTTTTTTTCTACACAGACATATTCATATTAATTCCACTATATATCTATTTACATATACAAAATTCATGACACATTTTTATTGTCACAGTGTGAGATCTCTAAACATTTACCAGTTCAGTTGTGTTGGCCTTTGGAAATTTGTTTTAAAAATCTATTCTCCCCATCTGCAAAGTCTTTCAATGGCCATATCAGTGTATATGGTGCAGAGGCACAAACAATTGGAAGGTTCGTCAAATGAGAGAGTGTGAAAAGAGCTGTTGGTCTTTTAGTCGATCCTAGTTTTTAAACATTGAACTGCAAATGGATGTCTCAGTCACGGTGGTTTCTGGCAAAAAGTCCTTCCATTGCCAGCGGGAGAGACCTCATCATTTGAGGCATAAATGTAAACAAATCATTTTAATTAAACATTCCCCAAGCTATATATGCACAAGTCAGCAATAAAAATTAACATTTAATGTGGTTAAAGCTGAAACATCCTTAAAGCTGCCTGCATGGATGTATAAATTAATGGATGAGTTATACAGTATCTGTTGTCCACAGCTGTTTCAGACTTTATGAAAAGCGAGTCCTTCGTGAAATCCCTGCAGCCGTCTGAAGGCAGTACGACACATATGTTGAGAAATCTGCAGCCTCTGATTTGAGATGTGCCGTGCCAAATCACAGCCCCATTACACACAGCTGTCCACTGTGTTTAGCTTCATTAAATTACATGGAAATGAAACCAGGCTGCTTCAAAACAACCACACACCTCTACACATGTCAGACTGATAGATTAAAGCTCCATGGCTTTGCAGGAGATACCAGATTACCAGGGCTCACCTATGCATTCTATTATTTCACGTTTGCACAAAGTTACATTTTTGTAGTTGTGTGGTTTTCCCTTCTGCAGTCAAAGGAAACTAGAGCCTCTAACCAGTTTCACCTCACAGATAAATTCTTTGTTGTGACTCAGAAGTGTCCCATCCCATTTGTCTCCACAGGTGACTGGAGGGAGCAGTTGTGTCCTCTGGTGACCAGGTTAAAGGAGTGTGTGATGGAGGTGGTGGAGAAGGCAAAGAGAGCCATGACCTTTGTGCTCCTGCAGGAGGCAGCCTGCAGCATTCCACAGGGCTTCCTCCTCCAGCAGAGGCGAGACGTGGTCTTCAGTCAGGCAGTAGGTGGCCACACAGACACAGTAAACAACTCTTTACAAGTCCTCTGGAGGACGTGAAGTCTGCTCAGTGATTTACTTGTTTTCCTTCATCTGAGGTGAAGGATTTTCCTCCTTTTCCCTCATTTTAAGATGTCTATAAACACCCCTAGTAAACTTTTGATATGTTTACAAAATCACTCGCAAAGTTACTAATCTTTCACCTTTTAAATGCAAATGTCAGCACAATACTTGTATTTTTTTTTATTATTTGAGTTAGTTGAGCTGTTAAACAGATTGTCTTCTAAGTGTCTGTCCTTGGTGGTGCAAAGTGCAGTGCTCTCAGTGCTGTCCACACCAGTACGTGGCTTGGGTTGAAATGTTTTGTCCCCCATCTGATATGCGTGAGCAAGAAAATAAAAGAGTGACAACATTTTCCGTGATTGGACTATTACAGCTCACTAGTTGTGGTGTAAATACAGCTGCAGCTACAGGATCTGAGCTGTTTAACCTTCTTGCCCTTGACTTGGAATGTGAGTGTTTTCAGATCCTCTGTATTCCAGGCTCCCCATTTTAAGTGCATAATATTTGCTGTTTAGTTGTTTGTGGCAAGAACAGCTTACAAGAGATAGCGCTCACGTTTGTGTGTGCTTTTGTGTGTGTGCGTTTTGACAGCTGGCAGCCTTGGCCTGTGGTTTCGTCATGAGGTTGTACGCAGGAATGCAAGACAAAGGCTTCCTGAGGCAGCTCCACCTAGTTGGCCTGATGGCCCAGTTTGAGAGCCTGCTCAGCACCTACAGTGAGTAAACCAGAACTATAACCTCAAAAATGCTGCAATTTATTTTGATTTGCTTTCTAAAAGGAAAAAAAAAAAACTCAATAGAGTTGTTTCGTTTAGATGAATTCACCTGAGATGATCAGTTATAGGCTCTAACAAGTAATAACATGTAACAGGGATGAGTCACTGCAGTGTTGATTTTGGCAAAATGCTGTTATTACAAGCACTTCTATCTCTTTATGTTCGATACACCATGTTCCAGAGGAAGGACACGCACAATGCCTTGACAATAATGGATCTTTTCAGACACATGATGAGAGACTGTATTAAAGGTTTGCTACAGCTCATAGGTCTGTTGAAAAAAAATGAGTGAATTGCATTGTTCAACAAAACCAACAGTTAGGAGAGAAGCAAGAAGCTTTCCAGCAATTTAATAATTGAGTTTCTGACTTATATATATATTATTATTAGAGCTGAACTCACATTATTTCTGGCATGCTTCCACTATTAATAAGTTAATTGGTTAGCTGTCAACTATTAATTCAATCAACAACTATTTTAATAGTCGATATATCAGTTTGTGCTTTTTTTAAAAAACCTAAATTCTCTAATTTCAGCTTTTGAAATGTTTTTTCTTTTCTTTTTTTTCCCCGCCATTATTACAGTAAGCTGAACATCTTGTGCACAAACAAGACATCTGAGGACACTGATTCACATTTTTCATCATTTGTTGACAGTTTATGGACCAAGCAACTAATTGATAAATCAAGAAAATAATTCACAGATTTTTCAACAATGAATATAATCCCTATTTTTTGGGATTATATAATATTATAAATAAAAAGACAACACGTGCCGAGCAAGATTGAAATCGCTGCTGGTTTTGTTTAAGGTGAAGAGATCGGGATGCTGGAGGACATGGAGGTTGGAATCTCAGACCTGCAGAGAGTCGTGTTCAAGATTACAGAGGCCAAGACAGATGACCTGAGCGACCTCCAGCCTTTAGTGTGTGGCCGACGGTGAGACACGAAGCCCTCCTCTGCTGGCTTTTGTGCTTTACTTGTTCACTCCATATGATGATGATGAAAGCTGTTAAGTACTACATCCTGTTGTAATAGATAATATCAGTTTGTGTATGACTTTTTTTTTTTCTTTACTGGTTCTTTAGTTATTTATTTTTTAAGCATTTCCTTCAAAGTTAACAGTTCTCAGGAAGCTACGAGGAAAAACTATGTAATTTGGTAAAAATTACAGGGAGTGGAGATAGTATTCAGTTGATGTGCTTTCAGTTCAACGCAAATAACTTGACACATGACCTTGTAGAAAAGTAACTGTGTTGTAGTTGTATTCTATTGTAGTATTCGATCAGATGATGTTACTGTTGTGTACTTTGCCTGTTCTCTCTTACTGTGATTGAAAACCGAAGAATCCTGCGTAAGAATATATGAATACACCTACGTTCTGCCAAATGAGCAAACAAAAAGAGTAAGTTTTAGTGGTCAAGAGGTTTTCGAATCTGACACACTTGCGACTTTCTGGTGTGCAACAACTTTGTAGCAATTACTGCCTACAAGCTTACAAATGAGTAGGTGTCCAGTGTGTCAGAACACTGTCACTAGAGCATATAATTAGTACCAAATTACACTTTTCTTCTTATGTAATCTCCTGGTAAACTGTTACAAAATTATAGGACTCATAAAATGAAGTGGCACCAGTTGGCAGCAGTAAAAATGATTGTTTATTTTAACTATTACCAAGACTGATGTTACTAAATACAGATTAATACATTAAGAGATGTACTTTGTGTTCTATAATAACTCTATTACTGTCTGCTCAAGCTTTACTGTGCAAAGATTTCAGTGTAACATTGCATATTTACAAGTGGACTGAGTTGCAGCGATTTCATCTTTGACAATAATTTGTTTACTTAACCTAATTCAAGAATGCCAGTTGAAACCTTCCTCTCCATGTTTGGACTTTGACACAGACAGAAACCGCTTTTATTGCTTCTCCGGGAAAGTGCTCAAACATTAGCCTGCTGTCTGAATGCAAGCTTTGAGATGAAATTTAAATATGTGACTATATTGTGTGTTAACGAAATAACACTTGACTTGCAAGACGTGCTTTTTTAAAACTTTATATCCTTCTTTTAAAATTGTCTACGTTTTTATTATGCACCAAAAGACCAAGTCCAATTCCTTAACACTGACTTGGCAACACAATAGATTCTGAAAACAAATAATAGTTATAGCCATCTTTGGTTATATGTCATTTTTAGTTGCTTGCAGCCAGTGAATATAATTCCAGATCTTTGGGCACGAACTGGCATGTTGTCTTGTCGTAGCATTTTTATTAAGGTGGTGTTTCAGTCGTTGTAGGTAATTGTGATTCATTGTACACTTGGAGTCATAAAAGTGGAAACCATAAAAATTACAGCAAAGCTGGGTGCTCTTTGGGCCAAAGAAAGACCTTCATGACCTATGAAATGGAAAAATGCCAAGTGTCAGTACACCAAGTAGTACAGTTGTACTGCACCGGTGGTTATGTGGAGCGATCTGGCCTTTTCTAACTCTGCGAACTTGTGAACTTCACAAATGGAGAAATGACTTGTTTAGAGAGTCTCTGTTATCACTCCACAGCAGGTGAAGTGTTGAAGTCACTTGGATCATGAACACCCTCTTCCTCCCTGCAATAAAACAATAGTGTCCTGATTGGGCATTTGCCCCAAGATCAACTTTAGTCAGGCTGGTTACTGTGTGAATAAAGTCAAGTGTGATATAAGGATACACTTCTCTTGCCCCTCCTACCTCCATGTCAGTCTGTCCAACACATTTACACTCTCTCTATCTCGTGCATACACACAGTTTATCTTTTTACAGCTTGCTCGGACCTGTCGTAGGTGTCACGCCGTACAGCTTCCCAAAGGCATCATGCTCTGCTGCACTGCAAAACATATTAAGTTTCTTTTTAATTTCTTTTTCTCTTACACTTGCTAATCCTATTTTTTTTTTCCTTCCTTGCATTTAGAGACCACTTCACTGTAGAAGTGCCATTACCACAACTGGTTTTCCAGACCTTGCCAGAGGAGATCAGAGAGGGCAAGCCTCTACGAGTATTCCCGGTGCTGTTTAACGTGGGCATCAATGAGCAACAAACTATAGCAGAGAGGTACTGCAGACGCTCTTTGTTCACTCTGAAGAACTTCCACTCGAATGCGCTTAAGGACAAGCACTCTCAATGTAAACATGCTCACCAAAGCCGCTACAGTCTTATAAAGATAAAGAACTAGAGTCATTTACAGCTTATTCTTTATCCTCTTTGTTCTCGAAGAAAGTACATTGATATCCACAACAAAAGAAAAAATCAAATCATCATCCTTCAATGCTGTATTAAATCCACAAAAGGCCTGGTCACATTCCTGGACTGGTAAATGACTGTTTAATATGTAACTATATTGTACTTACCTGTGTTTAATGATAGAAAATGCTTCGACAGTCCATGTGAAAGGATGCTGTTTTTCCTTTGAGTGCAGCATTTACTGCTCTGTCTTGCTTGTTTGTCAAATGGTTGACTGCTAACTGTTAAAAATTGATGATGTACCACCATAACTGCCCTTATTTTCCTGTCATCCCCTCAGGTTTGGAGACATCTCCCTACAAGAAAGAATAAATCAGAAGAACTTTGAGACGTTAGAAGCCTATTACAAATCATTAAGTGAAAAGGTGCCACTAGAATGTAAGTGAACGATTTTTTTTTCGTCTCTTTTCACCAAGGACAAATGCTCCTCAATAGTACATCTTTGAAAAATACTGGGACTTGTAGGTCACAGTGCTGCATTAAAAAGACTCTTGCATGTACTAGTCGAGACAAACGTGAGCAAAAAAACATTATTGGCAACTTGTTATTAACATTAACCATCAATATGTTATTGTATTATGAATAGATTTTTGAGCATATGAGTGTGGATTTAAAAAATCTAAAACAGCATTAAAGTATTCAGTCTAAAGAACCTGCACCCGATTCTGAGCTACCCGTCTGCCCTCATTTTATCCAAACAGGAAACAGAAACAGTTACTGGAAATGTGTTTTATGTTTTTCTACAAACAGGTCTACCATGTTTTCAGACACAGACTGACATAAAGGAATTACTTGAAACCTTGGGGCAGAATGTAGTCACAAAGAAGAGAAAGAATGTGGAGATACTATGGATTGCTGGAACCGTGAGTAGAGTTTCTGTCCTTGTCAGAAAAGATAGATGTCTCTCAGATGTATAACAGAACGTTCTGTCTTGTATAACAAAGGTAACTACAATTTCTCTTGAACACTTGATGTATTCTAGCATTATGTTTTTGACATATTAATATTTCATGGGCTTTAATGGGAGCACTGAGCCAAGCAAAGAGAAACTGTCTGAACATGATGAATTGACTTTGGAAGATGATACTGTGTAGACACTGACCTTTATTATTTTATTTTTTTATTCAGTACCTGTTATTGAATTGTTATACATGTTCTTACATTCTTTGTGATTTACTAAAGACACTGCAAGAAATATATTATAAGAAGACAAAGAGTCTAAAGCCAAGGCAGCAGCTCTGTGCTGATGTTAAAGGGGACATATCATGCTTTTGTATAAAAATGGTCACTGCAAGTCAAAAGCACAGGCTTCAGCCTGCTGCGAATGCCTCGTATGCAATGATCCCTCTACGACCCCATCGAAGTGACGGTTGTTTATGGGTATGCAGTTGTATTCAGCAGCCTTTGTTGCTACGGTTGTTTGATGGCTTTTGTGAAAGTGAAGGTATTCAAGCTCAGATGTGTACATGTACATTCAAAACATTGGGTCTGTAATAAGGTTCAAGTATAAAATGTGTGACTGAAGATTTAACAGACTTTACTGTTATTTGCACAGACAACACTGAGCAGTTCATTCCATCAGGTTAAGGAAAATCAAACAACTTTAGGATGTTTACCTTGTCTGTTACCTTGGTTCAGTGTGTTTGCAGATCCAATATTTGTAGAAACATTTAACTCAAATCACCAAAGTAATTAGGTTTCACCCTCAAGTAGCTATGAATGATGATGATTATCCATCTAATAGTGGTTGAGAAATTTCAGCCTGGACCAAAGTGGTGCAGAGACTGACTCATTTGGTAATACAGCCGAAAATATCATCATTTCTGTATTTTATACACAAATTGGTTTGACTAAAAGGATCCCTATTCAGAAACAAGCTCAGACAGCATCAGAATCAGAATTAACTGGTTCCTTTTTTTTTGGTTTTTAAGGCCTTTTTGTTTTTTAGGTTAACCCGGTTTTTTAAAAAAAAAAGTTAAAATGTGATGTTTTAGCTTCTGCTGTTTGACGTGTTAGAAGAAAATGTAAAGCAGAGCCAACAACAAAAAATAAGATGACTTACTTTTGCTGACAAAAACCCCAAACTATTTTCTTTAATGGTGCGTGTAATGTTTTCCTCACTTCCCTCCAGATCTGCCGAAGATTAAATGGCATCAGGTTTACCAGCTGTAAAAGTGCCAAAGACCGAACATCCATGTCTGTCACATTAGAGCAGTGTGCCCTCCTGCGTGATGAACACCAGCTCAGCAAGGACTTCTTTGTTCGTGCTCTGGACTGTATGCGGAGGTAAGACACTAAATAAAAGACGCTATCAAACTGTTAAGGGTGCAAGTTATTGTTCAAGCCAATTGTTAACATACAGTTTTTGCAGTATGTACACACTGGATAATTTCAGTTTTATTTACTCCGATATAATCTCACCGAGACTTCTGCTGTCACCCCAGTGTTATCTTTCTGAAGACAATTTCCCGTTTACTCTGAACTATTGACACAAGTAATTGACAGAGGGATCTGTGGGTTATCCACAGTACCAAGAATGTTGTTTCTAGAGAGACACAATGTTGGATTTCCCAAATTATTTCAGAGAAATTCCTAAAAATCTCAGTATATAAAACACATATTTTACAGATTTCATGTGACTTGCCAGTGTTAAAAACTTAGAAGTAACACTGGATGGAGCTGAAATAAACCTGTTATTGTAAACACCTGGTTAAAGTAATAACCTGCACCCACGCAATCCATCACACATCCAAGACATGTTGTTTGCGCCATCACCTCCCAGCATATCATTGTTAGATGTGGAAGTGTAAACATCATGTGCTCCCACCACCATCCTCGCCATCCCTCACACATTCAAAGGCAACCATGCATGTTCCTCTCAGTGCTGCAGGGACACTGCTGCCTTTAATGTCTGTCAGCGGAGTAAACACCTGCATCTGCCCACATCTGATAAGCTTAAGATTTTTTCTAAGAGCATCGGGGAAGTGCACATAGAAAATGTTGAGGTAATGACCTGTACAGGCCAGCTGATGGCAGCTGTGCTAGATGAGTGTGAAGAAATAGACCTTACGTGACACAAATACAATAAAGCCCATAACTACCGATCATCAAAGATCAGTCACTCAGAGTAATTTTCAACTGATTGTTGTTGATTATGCTTGGTAATTAAATATGCTAATCCCATGTCATGGTAAATAATAAACTGCTTTTATTAGGCAGTTCTACAAAATAATACAGTAAATTAAACTGATGTCATGGACATTTTCTGATTGAATCTACAGTATTAAGTAGAACAAAACAACATCTGATGACTCTCCTCAAACCTGCAAAAGTACAAATTTACTGAAGGTAAACCTTGGAATAAAATAATTCCTGTCTCAAATAAACTACCCTTTTTCACACACTGTTCTGCCGACGAGATCACAGTGTAGAACTTCTGTAGTAAGGTTAGCCAATATTGACAAAGTAATTAACATTTAATATGTTATCTAACCCCAAACACCAAAGAACCCAAATGGTTTTTGTCCCAGAAATGAGTCTTAATAATAGATTTAACTGCCACCAAAAAGAACACTTACATCTGCAATTGCATTATTTGTCAAGCAAATGTACAGCTGGCAAGCATATGAGAAGTAGCCTCGGGCACATGTGTAAACTCCAAGTAGAATGTAATAAGGATATTGATTTAGCAACACGTTGCTCTGAATTTATGTGTGCCAGACTGTTTCTATACCTTCCCGATGTCTGAAAGATTTGAAACCAGTGACACTCAGCTGCAACAGCAGTGCTCTGGTAGTTGTGTTTTGTCGCAGTTTTACGTCTGAGATGACTGTATTTACATCCAAAGCTTGGCCTCAGAGCAAAAACAAGAGCTTTATGTTTTGTCTAAGTGTGATGTTGGACGATCAGTGATGGAGATCTGAAAGGAAAAAGGGAAACTGTATTTTGTTCACTACAGTACTCTGGTCTGATATCCTGCAGGCACCATGACGTGATCTGCTGTCAGTCAGTTTATAGTGCGCAGGGACTATTTTAAAATCTGATTAAATTCTTTAAACACTGCCAGTTTGGTTCTAAATTGAGAAGGTTGTGGGTCTAAATAAACTCTTGATTAGACCTCAATGATAAGAAATTATGATTAATTTAGTGTTGAAATGGAGCGAACACATTGGAAAAGTAATAATCGTAAAATGTTGATACACAATGTTGTAAATATGAGGATGAAAGCTCCACTATTGTGTGTAAATAATGAAAGGAGCTCCATTTATAGACACTGATTTCTGTTTCTGTTTGAGTTGTCAAGTACAGGTAAAAAAAACAAAAAAAACCCTTATACAATCAGTGCCATGATTAAAACTGCTTTTGTTATGGTTTGTCTGTCTGATTGGCAGCGCCAGAGCCGTTTAACGTCATCACTTTAGTCAATAATTTACATTTATGTTGGGTCTGGGAAGGTTATACTGCATAGGAAATACGGTGTTGTGAAACAGCTACACAAACATCACACCGGAGAGACGCCTATTTGCTTCAACAGGTGGAAAGGTGGAAATCTCATGCAGCTTGTTGTCTTCAAAGGAATCTGACAGTTTGTGCCTATTGTGGGTCAGGAAATGGATTTTATAGCATTGGTTTGGTACTTGTTTGGATTAAAAGTCTGATTAGACGGGATGGACTGGCTGATTGTATTGTTGCCATATGTTCTGTGATATTATTGGTTGTGAAGCAGCTACACAGGTACATTTCAGCAGTTGAAACATTCTTGTATTTACTTAACTTGATGGTCTGAACATGAAACAAGAAATGCAGCTTCAGTACGTACAGTGTCCTTTAACTCTGTTTGTCAGGCATTTCATATACGCTCAAATAAAACCCTTCGGCATGTTTGTCTTTTCCTCTTTTCAAAGGCTGAAGAGCCCTCAAATTGACATGAGTTTCTCACATGGACATGTGATCTCTGCACTTGTCCAAAGGTGCTGATTATATCAAAGGAAACAGTCTTACAGTTCGATAAAGATATTTTTAGCTCCACTAACAGTGAGTCAAATCTGTCATAAACAAAGTGTGAAAGAGGTAAAATGCCATCCACAAGGAAATCAATACTGTGAAGAAAACTTAAAGCAATGTTCACATCCTGTAACAGCCCCTTAAATCGCTGCTGTACACCATTCTTCCACTTTAGTAAATGCGCGTCAGCTGGATTAGATGGAATGAAAATCCATTTAGATACAACTTCTATTATTAAAGTCGTGTTAAGGGCTGCATGCCTCCTTCCTCCATCCTCCAATCAAGTCATTTCATTATGTGGCTTACAGTGCAGTTTCCTGGTGAGCATGTTTCTCATATTTCTGCTCCCATCCATCACCGCCTGCTCGACTGTGGCTGCTTTACAATGCTGTACTGCTGGCTCTGTGTCTAAGTGGGCCTTCTGGTGTGAGCCTGAGGGCCATCAATTTGCGCTGGGAAGTCCACTTAGACGGCATCTATACTGTACTAACACCACAGTGTTTTGATCTGTCCCTGTTCGTTCTGCTTCACTCCGATGGGCGCCCCTGCAGTCGGCTGACCCAGGGAGACATTGGGCAGTGGGAGGACCCAGAGGCTGGCACCGTGACAGAGAACAAACCAGCGTCACGACACTTTTATCCCATTGCCCTGCTGCTCGTTAGCTCCCACTTACTGGTTGTGTGGCTCATTTTAAGTCTTGTTTTTCTGCTTGCAAAATATCAATAAACTGCTGACAATGCCATCTCTACTCACTCCTTTCTTCTGTGTTCGCTGGTTATTCCTTCATGGGTTGTGGTATTGCGAGTTAGCCGGCTTTTAGTCTGAGGGTAATTAGCGTAAGTGATTTAATATTGACTTCAAACTGCAGGGCGTTAATCCCTGTACCGGGAAAATTGTTTTTAGTCCGATGGTATTAAGTCACATTATCTGCAATTTAACATTTACTGTGTCCTAATCTAAGTTATGCCTTAATTTATTTTTGTTAAGTTACACCTTCCTGTCCGACAAGAACAAACCTTCCTAAGACTAACACTTACAAAGTTCACAATAACTGCGTAGACAATATCCACAAATACTACATCTGTCAAGACTAATGGATGAGCTGGCATTGTTCTGCATTTTTCTTTCTGCCAACAACAAGAATGCACAAGTCCATTTATCAGTACAGTCTGACTTTCCTGCTTTCTCTGTGTCGTCCAGCTCCAAGTACATTCTTTTATACTGAAAACATCAATGACAATAGTGTACATGGCATTGACCTAAACTAAACTACAGTGACTGTGTCCATGGTTGTGCCAGAAGCCCAGAATGATGGTGTGTTTTAACAGTTTTAAACGATGAATATCAGCGTTCAGCTACACAGACAAAACTCTTTATGGTTTTGGTCTTTTCTTGAGATTTGTGGATAGTATGAAAAATGTTAAATGTTGCCAGCCTGATCCCTTAACTAGAAACATCACAGGAAACAGATGATGTGGTATTTAAAGTAGCTTAAGAAGCTAAATGTGAGTCTGATGAGTCAAAGCATCATTTTTTAGAGTGGGTTATATACAGTTGACGGATAACACATTACAGTGTCTGCGCCTGAAAATCTCTAATGCATTGTCAGCACTTACTATGCACTCGACCAGGACGGAAAGGAACCACATTTGGCATTTTGCAAATGAGAGCAAATGTTGTTTCGTTCAAACAGTAAGCTGCTGTTTTAGAGGCAGGTGATCGCTCTCTGTCTTCTGCTCTCCTTTTCTTCTTCTGCCTTTAACGCTTAACTTCTTGGTCATAACAACGTAACGGATGCTTTTTCTGTAATTGTTTGTGAATGTGGCTGTTTGTGGGTTTTGTGGGCCGCAATATGAGAAAACACAAGCAGATGACACAAGAAACATTTTTTTAAATGTGTAAAAGTAATAAATCAAAAACAAATTGAGAAACATATTCACCAAACAGCATATGCATGCCATAGAGCAATGCACTGCAAATTCAAAAAAACAAATGCAGACCTGATGCTAACACACAACAAAAGCTGCAAGGGGACACCAACTGAAAAACTGGTCTTAGCTCGTTTTACAGAATCACTGGTATGTGGCCAACTTCAACGAACTGCATGTCTGCAGTCGTCTGTTGTTGTGTAGGACTGACAGTGTTCCTGTATTTGCAGTGTGTTTCTTTATGCTGTGTGTTTATGATGTCGAGGTAATAAATTAGCCTGTGTTTAACTGCAATAAATGCAGCATTTCCTGCACATCCTTTTGTGTGAGTTACGGTGCGGTGCGTTGACCTCTGTAACAGAGAGAATCCTGTCTTTCATTATCCAGTAGAACTCATGTGTTAGTGCTTGAAAGAGACATTAACCAGGAACCCTCCAGTGAAAATCCAAAATTCTAGCTTTGTTAACTTGTCCATGTGATGTTTTTTTGTTTAGTTTTTTTATAAGTTAGAGCTCAGTCAAGGCCATGGTAGAGCATTTTCACCTTAAAACTGCAGAGTGCCGTTGACAGTCTCAGAAACAGATTCAGACAACCAGGGTTTCATATGCAGGAAGGCTGTCGCAATGTCAGATTTTCACTCAAAGTTATCGTGGCCAAAAGAATTTATGCTAATGGTGTTAGCACAATATCCACTGAAAATCTGTGAGAAAAAAAAAAGTCAGATTATTTTTTTAACTTTGTTTGTTAAAGGTTTTGAAAGTGTTTTTTTGGCATTTGAATGAAACTCTGCATGTGTAGGGAGGTGGAGAGATTCTGTAACCCCAACTGTATTGTATGCTATTCCTAGTTAGTTGCTGGCGCTAGATTATGTGCAACATTACACTCTATAACTATTATGGCCCAAAAATGGGAAAAACATATTTACAAAGGGACACTGGAAACAAAGGTTGTTGTTGTTGTTTTGTTTTTTTGGTATTTAATTTTTGAAATATCTTTTCGGATATCATCAGTTACGGCGGCCGCTGATTCATATATGTTCGTTTGTGTATATGCACGTCATTTGGCAGTAGCATTTTATTGCGACAACACGAACACATAGCAAATCTAATGAACCAATCCTGTCTTCCCACATCATGGGACTTCATGTATCAGTATTCTTTTTCAGAAGTGGAGTTGGGTTTGAACATGTGTGGCTGAATTACTACATATATTGTAACTTGCAATTATGCAGCGTGGAGCAGTTTTGCAGTGTTTGAGCAGAGTGTAAAGTCAGCAGACAGCGATGGGAAAGGATAGATTGAGATAAAGGCAGGACCAATACATATATATTGATCATACTAACGAAAGCAAAGGTGTAAAGTCTTCTAAAAATGTTTTTGCTACACAGAGATGTGCTGTAACAGGATTAGTGAATGCCAGGAAAGGGACGTTTATTCAAGCTCTATGCAGAGTTTGTATAAATGCCCAAAACAAAATCATACCAGAAAAATACTGAATAATTTTCCTGCTGCAATATGTGGCTCTGCAGAAAGTAGATGTTTGACTTAGATATTCTAACAACTTAATGACTCCATTGGAGTGAACAGCATTTGGCTCTACAAGCATAAAAACTAATGTTTTTCCATATAACAGCAGAATTTCTTCCCAGAAACAGTGTTTGTCTGGATCAGTTATGAGCAGGCTGCTGTACAGTAGATGCCTCGACTAATTCTTTGAGTGTACTGACCCTTTAAGGACAACACAGAGAACCTGTGATGTATTGACTGATTTTCAAATTTCACATACCATGAATCACTGAATTCAAATGGTTCCACTTCTCACTACTTTACACTGTCTACAGCTGCTTTCAAAGCATTAACACAGTGTTGTAATCCAAGAAAACACGTGCGTTAAATAATGTTCATATTTTTCTTTCTTTATGAACACTGTGCCAGCTGAGAGGACAATGTCATGTTTAAGATGTTTTTTTTTGTCTTAAGTCCAGCTGTGTGTATGTTTGAGGAAAACACACCAATGTCATGCTTCTGGAACTCTAACACTCGGTGCTCTTGCTCCCACAGTATGCTTCCTAACAGAAACATAACCTCTGATGAGTGACGCTTTAGCAGAGGCATGTTAAGGTACTAAGAAGTGAGTAAATGAGCCCGGAGTTGGCTGAAAGACAGTTTTTAGACTTGAAGTCGAATTCCGTATTGTATTAAACTGTGTCAACAGCTTGGTTCTAGTGCTATTTATTTTACTTCCAAATCAAATATTTGAGGAGGGAGGAAGCAGAGGATCTGAGGAGGGACAGATGGAGAGAGGAGGAAGACCGGAAAGCAAATGCAATAAATTGAGAAATATGTAATCTCCGCCCGTCGGTTTGAGCAATATTTTGTAGCAGAAAGCAGCTTCTTGTGTGTTGTTGTAGGATGAGTAAGATCACAGTTTTGTCTTTCAGAATTTGCCAGGATTTTTTTTTTTTTTTTTAAATCCTTGCTCAGCCTTGTGCACCCCTTTCTGTTTAGTTAGATGTTGTCTCTCAGTGCAAACAGAACAATGAAGCATGCCAAACATTTGATGAAGTAAGTGTTTGGGAATCTTTTCATTTGACATGACCAGCACCCAGTTGTCGCAGAACTTTAAGCAGAAAAAATCAACTACCAAATACCGAATGGTGAGATTTTCTGTTTCCCACATCATGAAATACATTTGAACCTCTGAAGAGATGCAAAACTTACATCTAATTATGTGAAACACTTGAACCGTAACAAGCAAACTACTGCCACATAGTTTATAGAAGGTTGTGCTAGAGGCATTGTCTCATCTGATGTCTGTAGGGATGTGTGTGTCATTTGTGGCTGATTGCAGGTCAGAATACATCATTATCTCCTCGTTAGTATGAGAAAAATAACATGTTAGGAAGTCATTAGGAGGACAGCACTGCTTTATTATGTGCATTGTTTATTCCGCTCCAGAAATGACACACACACACACACACAGTAATATATATATAAATGCAATCAGGAAGCATATCAACAAACCAGATTCAATAAGAACACAAAACAGTGTTTGAGAGAGTCATCTGTAGATTTTTTTTTGGTTGAGAAGCTTCATCAGCCTGTCTGTGTTTTTAATTATCATCACAAGCATCATTTACAACCCCACTCATGTTTACTTTGTGTTCTCCTGTCTTTCCTTCCCTCATTCCTCTTCACCCTCTTTATTTGCTCATCAGAGAAGGATGCCGGATTGAGAACGTACAAAAGAATATTAGATGCAGGAAATATGCCTTCAACATGTTGCAGCTGATGGCCTTTCCCAAGTGCTACCGACCGCCGGAGGGGACGTACGGCAAAGTTGACTCTTAAAGACACACAACGCTGTACTGTACATCTGCTCCCTCAGTGTTCTCCAACTAGTCAGTATGAACGCTTATGAATAATAGTGATTATGGAAAATGGGCTGTTCATTAAAATTTGCTGGATGTTTTTTGTTTTGTTTTTTAATTACTGTTTTTTGTTTTTTTGTTTGTTTCTCTGGTAATGTGATGAGGGTACATGCAGCAGTGCAGAGTTAAGGGATTCATTATAAATCAAGCTGTTTTTGCCAAACATGTGTTTCTTGTAAAATAATTGCACTTTCTCATCTACTTTTCATAACCCAAGCAGCAATAAAAAGTCCAACTATGTGGACCAACCAAAGCTGTACATAATCAACATGTGTGTATATGACGTTAATGATCTTTTAAAGACCTCAACAGGTGAGCCTGCATTTGTATGCATGAACAATTCTCCTCTGCACATTGTTTTTAAACTGATGTGCGTGTGAAAAAAATAATGTCAACTCAGAGGTCAGCTTTTAGGTTTGGTTTTGGTTTTGTGATGATGATGATGTCTGCACTGGCTGCCTTCAGAAAAAACGTTAGTGGACCTTTGACCTATTTCTGTAACAACCACACGCCCCAGTGGACTTCTGTGGTATAAATACTGATCCCCATGATCCATGAACTGGAACATTTCGACATACAGTAGTAAGATATACAAGATGAAAAATGAAACATTCAAAGCTAAAACCGTGACTTTTTGTACAAGAGTTGGAGCACCTCTCAAGCAGCTGCACTTTTTTTTTTTGTTGTTATTCTATCGCATATTCAGGTCAAAACTTCCTGTGTTGTTTTTTCCTGCAGCCAAACAAAGTTTCCGTAATAACTCTTCTAAGGAAGTTGTAACGTAAACTCAAGTACACCAGGAGGAAAGCAGCATGTTCTGTTTAGCTTTTCTAACTCATACTACAGCCCGGTGATGGAGGCTGAACATTGGACCATCATTTCTTAATGCTATAAAACAAATTCCATTGTTTATTTTTGTATTCTAAAATGATTTTATATTCTAAGGGTTGATACCTTGGACTTTATTGCATGTTCAGAATGATAAGTTGTGATATACATTTGACATTTACCAATGTCTATTTAAAATTAAAGAGCGGTTTGATGTCAGTTTCACAGGAGTGCACTTAATTAAATCATTATTTCTTCTCTTTTAGGTGAGAAGAAAAGTCCAGTGGAGTTTTGTTGAAGCTACTAGAATTCATTGTTTTATTTGGGTAATCTGATTACTTTGTAGGTGTGGGACGCGACTTTTGAATCTGATTGTGTGCAGTTGTGTGAAGTATGTTTTCAAGAGAGAGGCAATAATAAATAAAATATAATGTTGATAGCGACAACAGCCAAATAACAACACACCTTATATATATTTCTACATGTATATATACACATCCATGCATGCACATACAGTACATATACACATTACATTTGTAAAAAATGTCTTGGTCTTGGGAGTTTGAAGGTTCTTTGCAGCATCTATCAAGGGCACTTCAAATAGTTCTCGGTCTCACCAGAAAACCTCACAGGAGAAATGAATGACCTTATTGTCACTCTAAAAATGGCAACCACACAAGTTTGGTTTCCGAGCAGGTTGGGTGGATGAGGCCACACTTCAAAGCCACATTTGGCTGCTTCCGCTTCCTGTGCTGTGTGGACAGGAACACTGTCCTGGAGCAGCAGCAGCCAGCTTCCGGCTTCCTTCTACTTTTTTTCTTTGATTGCTTCAGATATTTGAGTGCAGAGTGATAAAAGGCTTATAATATACAGTTCTGCCCCACAATGGGAGCTACACCTCTTGTTTCCAGGTGAGGCCGAGAACTTTCTAGAGAAGCCTCGTAGCTTAACTGCACAGCCCCTCGTCACCTTAACTATTACCGCTACAAGCACTGTGGACTTCACATTCCACATCTGTCCCAGAGGTTTCTTCAGACTCTGGTACTTCTTGATGTTCTCAGTCCTCCTTGCTGGTGTTCCTGTCAGTTGGGACCACAACATCTGTAGCAACTGTTTTGTTCAGCACCGCTATATCAGGTTGGTTCGCCAGCAGGAACTTGTCCCATCAGGAGTGATCGAACCCAGACTCAGCACCATCCCAGCCACTTGGTTTAACCTCTCAGTGTAGCATCTGAAACCTTGCTACTCTGTGCTGGACTGTCTCAGCTGCCACTCAGATCTCATAATGTGAGCCACGTCTTCTATCCTCCATCCCATTGAGAGGTTTGGTTTTCCATGCTATTTTTTCTTCATCCTCCTCCAGCTGTGTCTTCTGCTGCCTCACTGAGCCGTCTATCCTGGAGTCGTCTTCCTATTATAGTCATAGATGCTCATTGATTGTAGCTCTGTGTCCCAACTAAACCTCCTTGCTTTCGTTTCCATGTTCTACTTTTGGCAGCATCTATCTCCTGCTGGCTGAGTATCTGATAACTGGTGAACATGGCTTGAGTTTTACTTTTGTCATTGAATACTTTTTAATTGCACTGGATGCAGAGAATCATGGCTAAATAGGTGTTATCCTCCTAAATCACTCCTGTCCTGTTGACCTGTACTGTACCAATCCTCCTTACTTCTGGTAGAGGAGGTGAAAAAAGCTTGTGTTGTTGAAAAACTGAGCATGTTAGGTGTGTGCTCTGAAAACAAGCAAGGAGACAAGCTGAATGGGGTGTTTCTTTGAACTTGCATTCTCTCAATACAATGAGCATTACAGAGTTTTTTCCCCCCATCTTGTACTCATGTTGTTTTTTTTGTCACCCCTTACATTTTCGCGTGTGTTAGGATCAAGATAAACTCTTCGAGTTTCTGGCATAGTTTCCTTCCTTTTAGCCACACTGGCCACGTGCAATCTTTTGTGTCACACCCTCTTTATGTTTCCGATTCTAGCAGCTGCTCTTGCCAAACTTGAAACTCAAGCCCGACCCAAGATCCGGCACTATGTTATCTTTATTTCATCCATTAGTGATTGTTGGCTGTGTGCCGTGTATCGCCTGTATTTCCCTCTTGCTACTGGATGATGGTTATCGAATTGCAACACAACTCTCACACTTAGAGAAATAAAAACTCTTTCTCTGAACTCATCAGGTTTCACAGCATTACTAGAGCTTTAGAAGGCAGAGCATTTCGTTCAATTCAATTTTATTTGTATAGCGCATATTTACAACAACAAGTCATCTCATAGCGCTTAACAAAGGCAGACACAGAAACACCCAACAATCCAGAACATTTGGATTCCCTATAAGCTTCAGCAGTCTGCAAGCAGTCCACAACAGGGGGAAGGAACCGAAAACCTCTGCGGGGGGGAAAAAAAACTTCCAACAGAACCAGGCTCAAGGAGGGACTTCTGGTAACAATGGCTCTTCAGTCAAATGTTGATTTTCTTGCCATGGCTTGACGTTTGAGGAAACCACAAATTGCAACATAACAGCATCGCAGCGATCAAAACACAATCCAGGATAGAGCTACAGTCATAGAGTGGTTGCAGTTATGATCAGAGCAGCTTCTCTGCCTTTTCTGTCCAATACAGTGGTACAGACCTGAGCCTGTGTGGACACAGCTGATGCTGAACTGATTCTCAGCGACAGCAACACAGTCCATGATACTGTATCAGAACACAGTTCAGTCTTTTTCTACAGGTCAGGAGAAACTCCAGCCCAGCATCACGGCCTGGCATCGGATTGATTCATGGGGTTGGAGAAAGGGGTTTATTAAATCCCAGTCTGGCACTTTCACTTCTTTTTTACTGGCCCAGGCAGCAATAAACAGCTCAACTGTGTAGGAAAACGATTTCAGTGATCCACATCTCTATTAACCCTGTTCAGGACTTTCATGCTGCCATATGTAGAAGGTTTTTTGAGGTCTAGACTTTTATACTACATTAAAAAAAAATTCTGATAAGTATTTTTGGTTCCCTCTTTTTAAATTTAAAAAAAAAAAATCTTCAAAAATAAAAAAAAAACAATACCTGTCACCTAAAGCAAATGGCCTGGGGTCCAAAAGACCCCAAAAGTCCTGAAAAGGGTTAAAGCACTTGGTACCAGGAATGCCGCATTTCTACTGTTGACTTCACAATTAGGGGCTGCAAGGTGGCCCAGTTGGTAGCACTGTTGCCTCGCAGCAAGAAGGTCACCGGGTCGTGTCCCGGTGGGGGCACCGGGATCTTTCTGCGTGGAATTTGCATGTTCTCCCCGTGCAGCGTGGGTTCTCTCCGGGTTCTCCAGCTTCCTCTCACAAGTCCAAAAAACATGTTGAGGTTAATTGGTGATTGTAAATTGTCCATAGTTGTGAATGTGAGTGTGCTTGGTTGTCTGTCTCTAAGTGTGGCCCTGTGATAGACTGGTGACCTGTCCAGGGTGTCCCCTGCCTTCACCCTAAGTCGGCTGGGATAGAATCCAGCCCCCCCACGACCCTAGTGAGGATTAAGTGGTGTATAGATAGATAATGGACTTTACAATTAGACAAATTCTAAAATATTAAAATCCTGAGTGTGTAAGAGTGTCATACACCAGTTACAATCCATGTAAATCCTCCTGCATGCTTCACTGGTATCTGAAGCAGCACCAGTGCAGAAGTGGCGTCAACACAGGGCTGGTTGCAGTCCAGTAACACTGAACAGAAATATTGCTTGTTTAGAAAAGAGATTCCACAGAGCGTCTTTAATAACTCTGGAGATAACAGAAAGGAAAAAGAAATCAGATGACAATGTTACAGATAAGATATTTACTGGAGTGAGCAGATACTGGAGTTCATTAGGTACAAACAGTACAATATTCAGTAGTGTTTAACAAGGAGTTTAATAACATACATTCTGTATAGTACAACAACTGTACAACTGGGAGGCAGATCTCTGCTGTATAAAACTGTCAGTAGCTTGAGAAATAGTAGCTGCTGTCATGCTGTTCATTCAAACTCCATTGCAGAGTCAATTTAGTGCAAGCCGTAAAATAATACACAAAGTCTAATTTTTCCGTAAGGACGGCACGATCTGTCACAGGGTGACATGGTTACAGTGAGGTATTTACAAAATAGAAATACAGTTCTTTACAAATATATACAAATACACATTTGTAGCTTACAGTATTTACATTGTCTTATATTTTATGATTAATCTGCCAAACAGTAATATAATCCAAAAGTTTATTTAGTCTCTCCAGGAATATTGTAATATTTTTCAGTGAGTATGATTCACATGGTGGGCAGCCAACCTGAAATTCAAAGAAGGCAAATTGTGAAAAGTGAAAACAACACCACGGTTTTGTGTAAGATACCATGATTAGTTAGTTTACATGCAGTGGTGCTTATGCGAGAACAAAAGCTACATTACAAATGTGATCGTTTTCATAAGCAGAGACACAAGCAGGATTTTGTGAAGAGGACTTACTTCAGGTTGCAGTGACTCATTGAAATGGAAGATGCAATCTACTGCTGTAGTTTCAGTAATTTCTTCCTCATCCATGACCATTATCAACTCCAATATGTAACATTTGAGTGACATAGTTTTACAGTTATCCTAGGAGAGAAAGGAATCCCTCAGTTTGGTCACATGCAGTTACAGATTTAGCCGATTAACAAGCAGAAACAAGGATTCTTTTTTTAATTAGTCCTTTCAGCTGCATCAGCCACTATCCTTCAACATCAACACCTGTCTAAAAGGCAGAAACTTGATCACAAATTTCTGCCTTTTTTAACATTTTACTTTCAGATTTTTATCTATAAATTCTACAAAAATAAATACAAAAGTTCTGCAAGTTTTTGTCAAAGGGGCATTTCCGTTTAACAGCAGACATTATTGATACAAAAAAAAAAACAAGACTGGCATTAGTTTGTGTTTCTTATGGTATATAAATTCCATAAAAAGACCTCTGTTTCTAAAATGACAGCCGGTAACACTTCTATGATAAAAAACCTTCACATGAGTTCAATTCAGTCTTCCTGATGCTAAATCCTAACATCCAGTAAGTCTTCTCAGAGTACGTCACATAGTAAGGTCAAGACCTTACGATATCACACAAAGAATCACTGTAATCCCTAACAATCCAAGCATCTGTGTTGTTTTCTGTCTGTTTAAAAAGCATGTTGGTTTTCTGACTAAAATTGTATTTAGGAGGGGGGTGGGGAAAAAAGTTATTGGGTCGGGTGTTCAAAGAAAATGCATCAGCTCAGAATTTCACGTTTCTAACTTTTTTTTTTCACAATGCTATGTTGCTTTATTGACTAGCATCACAAATAGAAATATAAACCAAAGACATTTATTAAAAGTGCAGACAAAACTTACTGATATTTGACAGATGCTCTCAAATACATTTTAAAATAGATTGGATTAGAAAATCATAGATGCCATCCATCCATCCATCCATCCATTATCTATACACCGCTTAATCCTCATTAGGCTTGTGGGGGGGCTGGAGTCTATCCCAGCTGACTTAGGGTGAAGGCAGGGGACACCCTGGACAGGTCACCAGTCTATTTCAGGTCATCATAGATGCCAAAATAATAAAAATTGAGATAGAAAAATGTAAATTCTTTACCTCGTTTTATTAACTGGAGATTGTTTTACTCTGGTATAATAGACATTTTAGTTTATGAAATAGCAAGAAAATAGGTAACAATCATTGTCTTAACTGTATGAAAGCCAATCATGATTATTGTCAGCTGTGGTCACGCCCAAGGACCCATTCATTCAGGAGATGTACATGGTAGTAAACTGATTGATCAGAATTACTCAAGCTGGTAATGGTGGTTCAACTTTATGAGGAAGGATCTCAAGACTCTGTTCCTAGTACCTGATAAGTAGTGACCACTTCCTCTGTTTTCAGATGGCTACTTCCGTTTACCATAAATGCCTTCTTTCACGATCAAACCAAGGAGAAAGAATAGGCGACCAAGAAGCAGCCTCTTGGATGAGACGTTAAATGTCCTCAAGAACAAAAAAGACAAGTCCAGCTGCCTTCTACTGAAGCGCCTATGATAGATGCTGCAATATTACATGATCACCTGCCCATGTCCATCTTATCTGATGCAATCTGTTGGAAATATTACTGTTACTTGGATGGCAATTACAATTTTAAGAGCTGATGCACTTTCTCTGAACACCTGTGTAGGTGGGAACGCTTTTTGAAAAAAAAAAACTGGAGATCAATGAGACGTTCAGGATTTGGTCACACACGTAAAACAACGGAAAAATGTGTTGATCTCAAGCTTTGGCTAAAGTTTTCAAATTACAAGTTGATTCAGTTGTGCAGATATGTTGTCTGATCTATTCATTTTTTTCCAAACTGTTGCTAAAGCTGAAATGATAGTTTAAGAACTTACTTTGATATCGTTGACTGAAGGAGCGTACAGCATGGCGTCAGATTTCTGAAAAGGTGTAGAAACAATAAAGAACAGACAAATAAATAAATAATGGCAGATATAAAGAATACAGTTCAAGAAAGTGTCAAAAATGTTGGTTTCTATATTCAACATAAAACATTTTTTTTTAATAAATACATTTTAGATGATAAAACATGACTAAAATATGATTTTGATACCTTCTCTCACCTCAATGGTCTTTTTAATGTCCCTCAAACAAATCTTTAGATCTGCAGTTTCAGGCACAAAAGCTTGTGCACATGTAGATGTACTCAGGAGGCTTCAAGAGAACGAAGACACAATAATTACATATTAATTACGTGATTGTAGACATTTCCGCTGTAGTTCTTTCAAAGAGTTTGGAACCTGCTGTAGATTTTACCTTCCCACACTCAGCTAAGAATTGCATCTTTCAGAGAGATAAAAAAAACTACATTCAGCTGTCTGTACATTCGTGGGCATTTTGGTAAATCAGCTCTTCAAAGTCGTGCAGCTCATCTGAAGGCAAAGGAGACTTTCCCAGTAATAACATGTCATTTCTATTTGTCGGATGAGTTCATGGATGAAACAAAATGCCTTAATTTCACACTCATCTTTCAACTTTATAGTCAGATACTTTTTTTTTTCTCTTCACATCACAGTGTTTAATTGTCCAAACACATTCTCTGACTCAACTTGTGTTGTATTTGATTTGCATGTCTTTCGAGATACATTACTGATCATAATATTTCCTCGCTTTTCAGCATGATAAAAATATTTAATGTTAAACAAGTCACACACTGCATGCCTACCTCAGAACTAAGAAACAAAGCCACACCTGAGTTTTGTGGCTCTCTCGGCACAGGTTGCAGGTCGGCTGGAACTGGGCGCCTTTCTAGAAATTGGACAAGGAAAAGTTAGTTTACCGTCCTTAATGTGAGCACATGGAGCTGGAATGAGACTGTTGAGAGAAGAAGCTTGTTAAAAAGGTCCATTTCAACTGAATATGATGAAACTTAACATGTTTTAAAGGTCAGACATGCACACATAAGACACAGGGCTACAAAACTGTCAACAAAAGCTTATAGTTTTGGCTCGTTTTAATTTCACCTATTTTATATTGTTCAGTACACTTATTTGTGCTTTGAAGTGAACTAAAAGCATGAATAAAGTGAGATTTGAAATGTTTGACTTCAACAGCACTTAAAACATTAACTGCACCGGAGTTTATGAGACAGGCAGCTCGTTCTGATAAGAGCCGAGGCGGGGGCTTGTGCATCGATATTAACAAAGACTGGTGTGTAAATGACAGAGACTCCAGTCTGTCCGGGTCGGAAAGAACATCTCCAACTCCATCACGCTGAGCACTGGATCTCCTCAACGGTGTGTGCTCAGTCCACTCTTGTTCACACTGCTAACACACGACTGTGCAGCCACATATGAGGGACTCCAGATCATCAAGTTCGCCGATGACATCACAGTGGTGGGACTCATTCGCAGTAACAAAGAATCAATGTACAGAGATGAAGTGAAACACCGAGAGGGCTGGTGCAGTAAGAACAACCTGCTGCTCAACGTGGACAAAACGAAGGAGATGATCATTGACTTCCGGAGGTCACACCCTGAGCATGCTCCCCTCAACAGTGGAGAGAGTGGAGAACATCAAGAGTGCAGATCTCGCAGGACCTGAGCTGGAATAAGAACACTGCAGCGATCATAAAACGGTCCCAGCAGAGACTCCATTTCCTGAGGAAGCGTCCTCAGGACTTTCTACAGACGTGTGGTGGAGAGCGTTCTGACATACTGCATCTCAACATGGTCCTCCAGCTGCAGTCTGTCAGACAGGAAAGCCCTGCAGAGGATAGTTAGAGGAGCTGAGAGGGTCATCGAACTTTCCCTCACCTCTGGCCAAGAACTTTTCCAGAGCTGCTGCAGGAGCAGGACACTGAACATTGTCAGGGGCTCCTCACACCCTCTCCATAAACTGTTTGAACTGCTGCCATCAGGCAAACGTTTCCGGAGCATTAAAGGAATGAACCTCTGGAATTATCTACAGCTTCATTCCACAAGCTGTCAGAATGCTGAACTGCTGATCCGGATATGCACACACTCTGTTATTTAATTGCTTTAAGTTATTGGATCCTAAAGAAACGCTCTCATCTTGCCTGTACTACTGTGTATGTACAGCAAAATGACAATAAAACTTGATTTGATTTGGGTCATTATGATTTTCAGTGTTAGTTTAGAGGCGGCACTGTTTATTCTACACTTTAACCAATCCTGTTCCTAATTCAGATGTTCTGTTTCTGCTATGTGCTATTTGTTGTTCAAGCTTTACATTTTCTGACTCCATTTCAGCTCACATTGGGAGTTTTTGCTTCTTATTTGCCAAAAACGATCAGATGGTAACGTATGATTGTTATACAGTATACACTGCAGTATATCTGAGTGTTACCCACCGTTCCTCTACAGATGATGTTACTCAGCATCTCTAAAACTGCTCTATTGTATTATGAGTATGGTGTTTTAGATTCTGTTGACTTGAATCTCACTTCTTTCCAAACAGATGCTGATTCACCCACACTGTCTTCCTCCATCTCTCTCAGCGGACTTTGCTCCGCAGCAAAGTGGAAACAACACAAGACGTGAGAAGAGAAAGGCATGAGTCAGCTGCTTTGCATAAGCATTTACTACTGCAGACGTAGTGTCTTGATCAAGGTCCAATATGGAATGTGTCTAAACAGACACAACAAAAGTCTCACCCACGTTCCTCCAACCATCTGCATAACATGCTTGCTGGCTACTCTGCTATAACCTTTATATTTAAAAAAAAAACTCACAGGACAAGGTGAGATGGTGGATGTGTCTTTTTGTAGACTACAAAGCAGCTGTCTTTCATACACCTCATGAGGTGCAGAGGTCTTCACTTCGCTCATCGATCACAGGACCTGAGATACTCATCTGTCAGTTGTCTATCGCCCTCGACCTTAGCATGTTTCAGATTGCTCTGCTCCAGTGAAAACCAACACGAATGGCCCTTGTTAACTCTGGGTCTGTGTCTTATAAGACATGCATTTTAAATGACCTCTTTACCTGCTGTGTTGTGGATCCTGTAGAAGCCAATAATGTAATAACAGCTGATAATGTAAAAGCGGCCAATGACATAATAAATTTGCATTTTTAAAAATGAAATAGGCCAATATTGTAATAACTGGCCAATAACGTAATAAAAGTCCTAGTTATTGGCCAAAAGTTACGTCGGTTCAGGACTTTTATTACGTTATTGGCCTGTTACATTTTAAAAATGGCAAATTTATTGGACGTTATTCCGTAATTGGCTTCTACAGATCTCCTAGTTTTTTTGGAGACATGGATGGTGATTGTGAATCAACCAGTTTTGGTCAACAGTGTTCCTTAATTCGCACGCCTACAGTTAGCTACGGATTTCAAGAATATTTTTAAGTTGCAGACATTTTCTTATAGCAGTAAACCCATGGCAACAATCTCAGATCTCAGCTTATATGGACTGGATTTTTTTGGCCTTTTCTTAGCATATAAAGAAAGCTGTCGTATAATCTTGACCCCATAACGTCTAATGGATTTTCTGTTGGTTGTATTATTCACGTTTTTCTGATCACATACCTATATATATTATATATCATATCTAGTCCTCAGTGTGCTGCCAAAAATCCTGGTGACTATTCCTGTTATATAAATTCTCTCACTGCAAATCAGTTTGCTGAAGTCCATCAAATAAATGGCATCACAAACAAAAATAAACTTCCTGTATTTAGAATAGAATAGAATAGAATAGAATAGAATAGAATAGAATAGAATAGAATAGAATAGAATAGAACTTTACTGATCCCTTTGGTGGAAACCTCAGGGAAATTGTTGAAATTTGTGATTTGCTTCAACAACAACCAAGAAAATTATCCTGTCACAACTGCAGTCATTCCTGAATTTAAACGAGATTCTTGATCTGTTTCATTCGGAGTTCAGAGCTTCTGCAGCACTGAAGCAGTTCTGTTCTAGGAAACAAATGATCTCTTTCTCTGGTTTTACCAGATTTATGAGCCGCCTTCGACACTGTGGGACATGTTATTCTTTTGATACGTCTCTAACAGCGGGTTGGTATCAAAGGTACAGCAATAAACTTGTTTAAATCTTAAATATATGGGATTCTCCGTGTCTACACTATGGGTCAGTTTTCCTCTTCCACTGTCTCCTATGAGCTCCTTCAGGGACCCATTAAGGACCAGTTCTGTTCTGCCTGAACATGCTCCCATTTGGAAGCATTATTAGGATGCAGAAAATCCCAGCTGTACTCCCACTAAAACCAAGTTTCTCCCGGACTGTTTCAAGGAAAATAAAGGCTGGATGTCAATTAACAGTAACAAAATTGATGGTATTATTTTTGGTCCCTCTAATTACCAAAGTTATCTAGTTCGTAAGTTTGGCCACCTCATCTTATATGCGAAGTCAAAGGCAGAAAACCTGCGTGTTATCTTTGTTTCTGAGCTCTGTCTTTAGCAACAAATCAGTTCTGTTCTTAAAATAGTTATTATAGTTAAGAACAAAACTGAAATCAGTTCTTTCTTTTCCATGACTGGGAGAAAGAACGACATGTCTTGACTACATCATGTCTGTGTTATGTTGAGCCTCCTCTGTTTACATTAACTCAGCTGCAGATGGTCCAAAATGCTGCTGTGAGGATGTTGGCTGGTACTGAAAACTGCGAGCTCTGTCCTCTCTTCACTGGCTTCCTGTTCATTTTAGTAGTCATGTGCTGATTGCTTTCTAGCCTGTTAATGACCAGATCCCATCTTATACTGACTCTCACTCCTAGAATCTCTAGTTAGTCACAACTAAGTCTAAAAGGTGACAGAGCCTTTGCAGTTGCTGCTAAACGATTTTGGAAATAGTTGGCATTAGATTTTAGATGTGCTCCCATCGTCTCTGTTCTTAAATACTGGCTCAAGACATATTTTCATTCACACTTTCATTTTCCCTTTTGACCTTCTAATCTCACCATCTGGTGTCACATCAGTAACTCTGTATGTTTCTCTTTGTGTCTTTTACTTTTCACTTCATATTTTAATGTCTTTGTCAGCACTTTGGCTCAGGCTGTGTTTAAATGCCACAGTGATGAGCTGTACTTACTTCGTAGCATGAGATACATGTGAGACATGGACTGACTTTGACAATAGCTCAAAACATTGCTTTTCACCATTTGAATCCGGATTTATAGCGACATTCAGGCATCTACTGAGGAAAACAACATAGGAGCTAATTTTACTGGTATATGAGGACCTTGAATAATAATACATTTCTCTATCCTGGTTTGGGTCCTGTTAGGACACCCGGGATCTTTCTGCGTGGAGTTTGCATGTTCTCCCCGTGCAGTGTGGGTTCTCTCCAGGCTCTCCAGCTTCCTCCCACAATGTTCAAAAACATGTTGAGGTTAACTGGTGATTCTAAATTGTCCGTAGGTGTGAATGTGAGTGTGCTTGGTTGTCTGTCTCAAAGTGTAGCCCTGTGATAGACTGGTGACCTGTCCAGGGTGTCCCCTGCCTTCACCCTGAGTCAGCTTGGATGGACTCCAGCCCCCCCACGACCCTAGTGAGGATTAAGCGGTGTATAGATAATGGATGTTGTTGGTTGGTTTCAATGTAGTTGGTCGTTGCAGGAAAAGACTGACACTTTTATACTGCTGCTGCCCACTTAAAGGTGAATTCCCACAACAAACACAAGCATAATGCAACACATGCCACATTGGTGCAGTTGCACGGAGCAGCGAGTCTCCAGTTCAGTTCCTGGCTGGCCGAACAATTTGCTGCACGTCATTCCCCTAATTACTGTCAAATTAAAGTAAATAATCTCCAACAAAAAACATGAATGTATTCATACGCATAAGAAGGAGGTTGTGATGGTGGAGGGAGCTGCAGCAGCCGCAACATGAGGCAGTCAGCTGAGTAAATATGATAACAGTCAGGTTATAATGTCCATGTTGTACATCTGCATGAATATAATTGCCAAACAACTGTGAATGAGCCAGTAACTGTATTTCCTCCATATGACAGTTACTTATCTGCACTCCAGCATTCCTCTTCCTCTTGATCTAAAAGCTACTGTAGCTCTTGGACAGCTCCAGAGGAGACAGCAGATTACACTTTTCCAGGGGGGTTAAGGCTGACATAAATCAACAGGCAGGCATCCATACAGCTGCACTCAGTCGTTGTAAAGTCAGTGAAATGAATGGGAAAATAAAAAGCATGCCAGAAGTTCTTCTGCTTACTTTCACCTCTCCACATCTGGCCAATCACTGTATGAGGTGCGTGTGAATGTTGGATTGTCAGTTTGATAAAGTTACTTTAAAGGCTTTTACGTGAAGTGATAAGTCTGAGAGAGAAAAACTTTAAAGCTGCCTCTGTGACCCCGATGTGAACCTGGGAAATGGAAAAACACAACTTTTCCACTGGTTGTGTGAAAAGTAAAGTTTAGCTAGGTCCTTCCATTTCATGCAACTTTATACTTTTACCCGAATACATCTCAGAGGCAAACGTACTTTTCTACTCTACATTTGTTTTTAGTTTCTAGTTACTGTTAAGATTTTTAAAAAATCCTGCACTTCCTCACCAGTGAAAACCGCATATCTCCAAATATGATGGTTCTGAACATTTGTGTTAAACTGAAAAATGAATCATCACAAAGTTGAAAACAAGGCGGTTTTCTCTAAACTCATGAAAAGTTGACTTTCTAGACCTACATGGTTCTGAGAGGACAGTGATGATCTTATACAAGATGATACACTGCTGCAGATAAAACCCACAAACACTATATACATTAATTAAGCAGTAATATTAATCCAAATGCATCTTATATTATCGTAAAATGCCCACAGAAACCATTTTTCTGCACAGTGAGTACTTTTGAAACCTCATGTACATCCATCCATCTATCCATTCATTCATTATCTATACACCGCTTAATCCTCACCAGGGTCACGGGGGGCTGGAGTCTATCCCAGCCGACTTAGGGTGAAGGCAGGGGACACCCTGGACAGGTCACCAGTCTATCACAGGGCCACACTTAGAGACAGACAACCAAGCACACTCACATTCACACTTACGGACGATTTAGAATCACCAATTAACCTCAACATGTTTTTGGACCTTGTGGGAGGAAGCCGGAGAACCCGGAGAGAACCCACACTGCACGGGGAGAACATGTAGACTCCATGCAGAAAGACCAGGACGCGAACTGGCAACCTTCTTGCTGCGAGGCAATGGTGCTACCAACTGCGCCACCTTGCAGCCCACCTCATGTACATTTTACTCATAATACATACACACTTGTAATTGTTGAATTCAGGATTTAAACTTTCACAGTAAAGTATTAAACCTTTTACTTCAAGTATCTGAACACATCTTCCACAACTGCTTCTAGACAAACAAAATGTTCTTCTTTGCAATGCTTTGATTTGCAAAATAACTTTTCTTTTTCTCACTGACTGCTTTTGTTCTGCGTTTTCTTTTTTTGTGTGTTAATTTTCATTTAAATTTCTTCTGAGGATTAACATTAATGGTGGAAGATGTTCTCAAATCATTTATTTAAGGAAATGAAGAAATATCTTCAAGTAAACTATGTCATTGCATTTTTTTTTACCTCAGTTAAAGTACATACGTATGAACAGCAAAAAGTACTGAAGTGTCAAAAGACTGACTTTGCAGCAGATGCCTGTTTTCATGCTGATACATTCTTGTTTTGTTGCAGCTTTTCTCCTGTGTTTCGATGGAAATAGCAAAGAATGTTTTCACTAGTTCCAAAGATCAATGAATTCAACTTACTATCATAAAAGCTGAAATAAAACAACCTGCCTGACCTACAAAATGAATCACTTTGTTTTTTTGTTCACTTTTCAAACGCATGTCAAGTGCCAGAGTAGTCAGACCAGTCTGCATCTGATAAAAACACAAGAAAACATTTGCAGCAGAAGGAAAGAGTTCTTCCTTTTACGAGTAAGTCTGTTTACTATTTCACATCACAGATTTATTCTTCTCCCTGAAGAGAAATTTAAGATTAAAAAAGGCTCTAAAGCTCTGCTGAAACATTCCGACACTGGCACGCTTATCTGAACAGCTGTAAACGCTTCCCCATGTTTTTATTCCAATCTTTAAATCATGTGTTCAGCTCCTACTTTCTGCCTCAGGGTTGAGTTTTGTTTTGTTTGTTTTGACAGACCACATGTAGTCCTGCTGGTTTCACAGAGCTTTTTAACTGATCTGTAGTTAAACTATTGTTACGAGTACTAAGGTTACATTTTAAAGACTGTACTTCAACTTGACAAAGACATTTCTACTTTTTCTTAAAATTTATTCCATCACTGAACAAAAAAAACAAAAAACAATAATGTGAAAGCAGACACTCTACATAACATTTTAATTATAGTTTATTAATAATAATTTGGCTGTATTTTTGCTTATGTAGCGCAGTTAATGATTCCACTTGCCATCTCTTTTCATAATACAATTATTTGCCTTATTTACAGAATAATGTCTTAACTGCTGGATGCTATGTTGGTGCCCTCTGCGGGGCCCCTGCAGACTTGAGGGGTGAACCCCGCGTTACTTTGCCAGTGGTAGGTCGATCAATAATAATCTGTGTGAAATGGTGAATACGGTTGTTTTAGTGGTAAATTTCCAGCTTGTACAGATGGTGTACTTGGTAAAAATATAGTCAAATTGCTTCTGTGACAATACTGGCTTGTTTATAGAAAATAGCACACCACGTTACCGGTAACTGTTGATTGTAATTACCAGTCATCCCCGTGGTGTCAATGCTAACAGTTAGCTGAATAAGTTCTTCTTCGTTGTAGTAATTCCCGGAGCTTATTATTGTGGTGACGACTGTGAGATCTAACATCAGTGTCTTTTACCAGTATCCTGTAAATCTGTGAATAAACAGCTGGTTGGAGCCAAAGGACGAGTGGTCTGGATTTGGTGTATCACACAACCGCCACACTCACAAGTGTCGCCTGAGTGTCTATTTTAAATATACCTGAAAAAGAATGTTGTTGTTTTTTATTACTATTATTGCACTGAAGTCTGGGTGCCTTTACTTTCACTGCGAGCACGAGAGTAAACTACAATAGTGAGTTTTCACTACTCTCACTAAAACTATTTATAGATGGTCAACTGAGAGCCGCTTGCTGCGCACACGCGTCCTGCTCCTCTGGCTGACTGAGTCCAGCTGTCGATTTGTTCCCTCCAAACTAAAGGAGGAGCCAGTTACACCACAAGCATCAACCGAAAGTGAAACCAAACCAGTGACCGGTAGAGGCGAGTTTGTTTTTCACCAAATAACCATAACGCCACACAGCTCGCCGACAGCAGCTGAAATGAACCCACGTGCTTCACCACGTTGACACACCTCCGACTTTTTTTTCCCAGATGGTTTAAACTTAAAGCTACTTTTCTCCATGAAAACATTAATGGTATTTTTTTTATTTTATTTTATTTATTTATTTTTGTACTGCAAGACCAAACCCGAGGTGTATGTAATCAGTGTGTGTGTGTGTGGAGGAGTGGACGCCGGGCCACGGGCACCGAGGGGCGGCTTACCGTGCGCTGGTCTCCGGTGTGTGTGAGTGGAAGGACGATCACATGGAGCGCCGTCATGAAGTCTGTCATCTGCGCAGCGGCAGCGGTTGCTCTCCTACCCAGCGGAGCAACAGGTCAAGATCACATTTTTGCATTTCATTTGCGGTAGTGAAGCCGGCGTGTCTCATTTGGTGCGTGTCCAGTGTTATTCACAGTGGAGTCGAGCCGGAGTGCGCTTGTGGATCCTCGCCGCCTCCCTCCCTCCCTCCCGCCCTGCTGAGGTCCCTGTGCTCAGTTCACTCCTCCTCTGATTCGTCACCTTCCTCTCACACCAGTCAGGGCAGCTGCTGACGGCTTCTTTTTTTAAAAAAAATAAATAAATAAATTGCCTGGATTAATTAAACTCGATCCTTCGCTCACGATGACGCTTCATCAGGACGGATTGGATCATGTGAAGCCATATTTATAGTGTCTCAGCTGCTGCAGCTCAGCTCAAGGATCACGGAAACCTTTGCACTTACATAAGGTCACTTATCACTCCTCAGCAGAGCAACACGTATTACACAGTACAGACAAAGGGAGCAGGTTTTTTATGTCCCCCACACTGTCACTGAGGCTGAGCAGGCCGCTGCAGGGCTCCATTATGAGTCAGATGGTTTGTGTGATGATTTGCTAATAACAAATACCTGCACACACCACTATATATTTATTAGGTCAAGCAGTATTACATGTATTGTTTGTAGAGATTTAATCCACCATACGTAAATTACATTTTAATTTGATAGGTAATTTCATAACACCAGTCACAATCTTTCCCACTTAGACCCTGCTGTCTT